AGCATTATGCTATGGTGAGGGAGTATTGTAAAAAGGGCTAGGAAGTTGGGCAGACAGCATTCAAAATACTTAATAATTAAACTAAGAAAATGGTAGTTCATCTTGGAGATGGTAGACCCATTGGAGGAGGGTGTTAAGTGTTTAAGTTGGGACTAAAATGATCATACTTGCTCTTTAAAATAGTAACTGGTGAAGGAGTGCAGTTATTTCAGGGACAGATTCATGAGAATTCCAAAACCTTTAAGGGTGGACAATGAAAAGTCTAGCAGACTTTTTATTTTGCTTAATTAAAAAGCCACACAATAAAGCATGTGGTGGATATTCATTAGCCGCTTAGCTATATTTTTGCCCAGTTAAGACAGTAAATGATTAAAAGTCCATTCTTGCTTTAGGATTATATGAGATAATTATATTACTTAATAAATATTTTATCAATGTTTAGTTCAGTGCTGTTCTCCTATAGTCTGTCTATCACATGTGCTTTAAAATAAGGCTCCTTAGTACATTAAGGCATGTTTCTCAGTAATATAGGCTTTTCCCCCCTGTTAATTTCCTAGGGACAGCTTTACTGAGGTAATGGAATGGTGGTCATAAAGTTAAAACTATTATATGTATAGGTACTTTCTGTTTCATATGGTTAAATGAATCTTGTTGATACCAAGGTTCATTTATTAATGTACAAATTAACAAATGTACCAATAGGGTACTCAGGCACTATTCAATCGTGTTAATGTGGTATTAAAAAGTCAAAATCCTAGCTGGGTTACAGTGGCTCAAGCCTTGTAATCCTAATTTACTTGGGAGGCTGAGATCAGGAGGATTTCAGTTAGATGCCAGTTCCAGCAAAAAATTCAGGAGACCTATCTCAAGTTAATATCTGAGTGCGGTGGTATACACCTGTCATCCTAACTACCCTAGGAAGCTGAGATCTGGAGGATTATACTTCCAGGCCAGCCCTGGCCTAATAGTTTCTGAGAACCTACCTCAGTGGAAAAAAGTTGGGCGCAGTGGTATAAGCCTGTAATCCCAGCTATAATGGGAAGCATAAAATACAAGGATTGCTGTCTAGACTACTCTGGGCAAAAAAGTGAGACCCTGTCTCCAAAATAAACAGAGCAAAAAGGGCTGGAAGTATGGCTCAAACAGTTGAGAGAGCGTGTGCCAAAAAGCATAAAACCTTGAGTTCTAACCTCAATACCACCAACAAAACAGAACAAAATCTTTAGGCCAAATCGGGTTTTATCCTGTGATTAATTTATTCACCATAAAAACAACTACTATGCTCTAGGAGTATAAGGTATTACAAATATACATCCAACTGATTTTTCACTTATAGAGTTTGTAAGTTAGTAGTAGAAGTAAGATGTATTCTTTTTATATATTTATCTTAAGAGTAAGGAATAATGGTAAGAAGAATTTGAAAGAGAAAGATTACTTTTGGATGACAGCATCAGAAACTTAAAGGAGCTGGATCTTAAAAGATGGATAATATTTGGAGGTGCTCAAGTAGACCATTAAAAAGCAAAAAAAAAAAAGCATACATAAAATCAGAAAGATGATTATTGAGAGGATTTTTTTTCTGGTGGAATCTTGGAAAGCAACCTTCCATGGTGGTTTTTGTTTTCTGCCAGTTACACACTGCTAATGTTATCATGTCCATACAGTGTTGGGTTATTCTGGTGTTTTATGAAATGGAAAAGTGATTTAGAAAAATTTTGTCTTCCTATTTTCTGTTCCTCAGAACTTTTTAATCCTTTTATTTATGTCCTTTTTCTTTCTTATGGCCTGTGTTTTTGCTTTCACTTGCTGCTCAACCATGAGCTTTCCTTCCCTCCAACTTTTGTTTTCTTTTAATAGCTACATTTTTCCTTCTTTATCCCTAATTTCTCCAATTTCCCATGAAAACTCCCTAAGCACCCTTCTTAAAATTACTTGATGTTGCCAGCCTATAAATAAAATACAAAGGAATCTAAGAATTGTGGAAAATCAACCTCTATTTCCTCCGTGCTAATCAGTCAGTACTTTGTGTCTAGAGCCTAGTCATCTTGAACTAGTTGTTCTCAAAGCTTGGTCACAGACTGCAACAGCAGCCTCTGATAACTTACCTAAGAATGCAGATTCTCAGGTTACCCCAAACCTACTAAATCAGAACCTATCTTTGGTCCAGGAGAGGTTTTTAGGGAAAAAAAATTGAAGTAGCAAATAACATTTAATTTCAGTAATTAGCTCAATAATAGTAAACATTTGTTGATCCATTTTATATACCAGACTCCTTTTGTTAAGTGTGAAGGTGTTGTTTCCACTTTATAGAGGTTGTGATACTAAGGGACTAAATATGTTCATTGTCATATAACTAGAAATTGGCAGATTCTAGAATTTTAATTCAAGCAGCTAGCTGAGAAGCTGACTTTTCTCTTTTTTTCATAGAAAATAAGTTACTATTTGAAGATAGCTTTTTAATATAGTTTTAGAATTTTCTTTGCTGATTTTTTTAAAATACAAAACAAAGTTTTAATCTGTTTTATAGACTACCTTTATCTTTAATAGGTGTGAAATTTTCTAAGTACACTACTATATATATGTACATATATACACACATATTTATTAATTGATGCACAGTAATTGTACATATGTATCTGGGACAGTGTAGTATTTTCCAACCAGATTAAGTCTAAGTATACTTATTTAGATAAGCTTTCATTTTCATAGAACATCCCTCATCTTAAGGTTAGATATATAAAGTTTTCCATGATGTATCAGGCTTTAAGAAAGCTGGATCAATAAAAATTCAAACTTAAAATAATTTTTTGTGATAGAAAAATATTCTCATATTAAAAATGTAAAGTCATTTTGCATAAAACTTTGGTTTGTACGTTTCTCAGTAATATCATCTGTCACATAAAAGAAGAAATTCTTGGAGTGATGTACCAGGTATTCTAGAAATACATTAACATTCTTTAATTAAATTCAGCCTCATGTGTGCATGTATGTATATATATATATATATACATACATATGTATATATATATAAAATACTTCATTCCTTTCTTGCCTCTTGTTTCTCCATCTATTTAAATTGACTTTGTTCTTAAAATCAGATTCACATATAATATTTTATAATGCATCAGGTTCTTGAAAATGTCTGCAGATATCTGATCCTTGAGCAGAGAAAATACAAAAATTCTAGTTAAATATGTAAGATATTTTTCTTAACAAGGAGTAATTAGATAAGCAATCTTTCTGACTTCTGTTGCTTTATTTTATATTTAATTTTTGAGCAGGCAACGTATTCATATACTACAAAAGTATGAAAAATAGTACAGTAATAAATCCTTCCCATTTATTTCCCTCAGTTATTCATTTCTCTTCCTCGTAGATACAACCTTTGTTACTAGATCTTCTTCCAGAGATATCTTACATGCACATTTTAAATTCTTTTTAGCACTACTAGTAGTGTACTATTACTAGTTGCTATGTTCTCTGCTTTTTTATACTTAATATGTATCTTTGAGATGTTGCCATAATGCTATATGTAAAGAACTTCCTCATTTGTTTTCTAGTCATATGTTTTATCCTATGAATGAAACAAATTTCACCAATCCTCTTTTGAATTGTTTGCCATCTTTTGCTTTTATAAACATTGCTTAATAAATAACTTGATTGATTCAAGTTATTGTGCCAGTTTTATCTGGATGGCAAATTTCTGGAATAGAATTATTGGGTTAAGAGGTAATATGCATTTTTAATTGCCAAATTTGTTTCTTTTCTTTCTCCCTTCTCATTTCCCCCACAACACCTCTATATAGTTTGAATATTTTATTACCACAGGAAAAATCATAAGTATGGGAAATTTTACTTTGACACTGTGCTAATGTAGAACCTAATTCTAATAAGCCTTTTCATCTTAAAGAAAAAGTACATATTCTTGTTTTAAGTCTTGATTATTATACTGATAAAATTTAGTAATTTTTCAAAGAAATTCAAAAGGTTAACCATTGTTGTTATATAAGTGCCTATTTGTAAAATTATTTCAAGTGTTTTATGTTAAACGTAATATCATAACAAGAATAAGGTAAGGTTCTTGTATTAAATTTGTATCTGATTTTTTTAAAATATGGACATGAAATCCTTAGTTGCTTAAATTGAAGCATCACAAGTAGCAAAAATAAAATGATGAAAAGTTAAATTGTTACAAGACTTCTTTTTCATTTCATTTGTGTTTCATAATTCATTAAATAGTAAAACCAGAATGTTCTTGTCTTTAATTCTGAAAGAAAGTAGACTTCTTTGTAATTATATTTTAGCAGTGTAGTTGAGTACAATTTAAACAATTCACAATGCTGACTTTCAGTTCTTCTGAAAGCAGGAAGTGTATTACTGACACACAGAAATATTCCAGTCCAGAGAACATACCTACTGCCATATGTGGTAAGAATTTGTCACTAACCCACAAACCGCTTCTGTAATGTAGTGAATAAGCCAAATTGGTCTTTGTTGGACATTTTTAATCCAATATGAAAGAACTTTGTTTTGTAGTGTTTTATAAGTAATTATTAGCTTATGCTTGGGAGAGAGCCTAGCGCAATCATGGGTGCTCATGGTTTATTGAAAGAAGAAATAAAGAAACCTGTACATGATTCTTTCAGTCATGATTTTAAAACTTGATTATTGGGACCTTTAGCTAAAACACAAAATTTACTTGAATAAATTAAAGAGTGAGCTAAACATCCTGGCTCAGTTTATTAATGATATCTTATTTTCATTGTCCCTTTTACTGTTCATTTGGAACAAATGTTATTCTTATTGTTGCACTTATGGTAAAAAGAAATTATCTTTAGGGTTAATTATCAAGGGATAAAGAAATTAAGAGCTTAAGGAAATAGATTTAGTTGTGAGGAACTGGATCGGAAGAATTCAATAAAGAGCTATTTGTAAATCATTAACATTTTGAAATTATCAATGTTTCTCTAAACTTGAATTTTGTTTTCTTGCATTTTAAGCGATTAAGAAGATTGTCTACAAAATACAGAACAGAAAAGATTTATCCTACAGCCACTGGAGAAAAAGAAGAAAATGTTAAGAAGAACAGATACAAGGACATACTGCCATGTAAGTTTTAAATGCCCTTGATAGAACAAACAGAAATGCTAATTAGCATTTTGCAACCTAACTAGCTTTATTCTTCCTAAATTTGATTGTTAAGGAGGTAAGGATTAATCTCTTTTTAACAAGGTACATAACAAAATAATAATTTGTAATTGTGCTTCTGACTTTCCCTTCTGACAGTTTTTGTTATTTTAGGTTTTGTAATCATAAACTACTTTTAAATACCAGAATTCCAAGGGAGAATATCTTTGGTAGATGCTTTATTCAGAAAGTTATTTTATTAAAAAAAAGTAATACAGATGATTAGATGATTTTGAAAAGTGCTTAAAAACAGATTGATCTATTATCTGTTCCCCAAAGAACCTAAATTAATTATGCATGAAAAAAATGGATCATAACATGACTCAAAAGTACCTGTATATCTGCTAATCTCAGTAGTCTGAATTTGTATCTCTGAGCATATCTTAATTGATAGTATTGTGTTCTGATACTGTAATTATGGTCTCAGATTATTTTCTGGCAAAACAACTTTAAACCCATCTTTAAATGAGCCCTCACTTTATAAAATAAAAATTTTGCCTCATGCCTCTATCTCTTAAAAAGCCACCAGTAAGTATTTCTCTTTGTCTTTAAGTGTCTTGAAACATCTACGTTCTATGACACCATTTCCTTAAACTCTCAGTCAGTTTTAAAGCTGCATTCTAAAATGTCCTTGATGAAGTTCTCAGAGATCTTTTAATTGCCAGGTTTAGTGGTCTTTTTTTCAGTGTTTATTCTTTCCTATTAACTGTTCTGATGTCATTACCAGTCTGTATTTCTGAAATTCTCTTCTTCCATGGTAGCCCCTTTTCAGGTCTTCCCCTCTTCCCTTGATTCCTAACTAATTTTTTTGCCTAAATTTAGTTCTTCGTCCTTCATTTTTATGTTATTCTTGTTCTGCATTATTGTCAGCTGTGGGATGTGTGAATGGCCAGTGTTAACAGAATTAACAAGTGACAGCATAGTGAAGAGTTTTGACTCTAGAAGTTCAAATCCTGACTCCATCAATTGGTAGCTATAAGACCTTGAATTTGTCTTCTCTGTGCCTGGGTTTCCTCATTTGTAAAATGGAGATTTTTTTTTTTTTTTTTGAGTGTTAAATAGTTTTAAGCATTTTATGTTAACCTAATGTAGTAGCCTACTTATTTCACTTTTGCAAAACATACCTGCTTTCCTCAACAGTTGCTTTAGTCTGCTCAGGCTTCTATATCAAAAAATACCATAAACTTTGTAGCTTAAAAACGGCAGGAATGTATTTCTTACAGTTCTAGAGCTGGGAAGTCTAAGATCAGGGCTCCAGCAGCTTTGATATATGGTGCTGTTCACTCTACAGTGTGTCCTCACGTTGTAGAAGGTGCAAACAAGCTCCCTAGGGCCTCTTTTATAATGACAGTAAGCTCTTTCACCAAGGCATGACTTAGTCATTTCCTGAAGGCCCCACATCTTAGTAGTATTGCATTGGGTATTAAGTTTCAGCATATGAATTTTGCTGGGTCTATGTCAGCTTAAGTTTAACTTTTTAAGAAACTGATGAATTGTATTCCAGACTGGCTAGTCTATATTCCCAAAGTACTGTTTAAAGATTCCAGTTTCTCCACTTCTCACCAACACTTGTTATTGTCAGAATTTTAGTTTCTTTGTTTGAGATTGGATCATACTTTGTTGACCAGGCTGGTCTTGAGTTACTGGTCTCAGTGGTTCTCCTGAGCCTCCTGAGCAGCTGGGGCTACAGGTATGGAGTACTATACTAAGCTTCACATTTGTTGATTATATTTTTTCTAGTAGTTCTTATTATGGTTCTAATTTTTATGTGGTATTAGCCATTCATTTGTTCGTCTTCTTTGTGAAAAACTTACAGTCATTGATATTAAAAATGTGTTTTACTGTATTGTAAGAGTTCTTTTATTATATTACTGTTTTTGGTTTGTTTTGAGACAAGCTTGCACTATATTGTTCATGAGCTCAAAATCTTCCTGCCTCAGCCTCCCTAGTGCTGGAATTACAGGCATTCACTACTATGCCCAGTAAGAGTCTTAATATGTCCTGGGTACTAGAGGCCAGTCCCAGAATTAAGAAATTTCTGTGTACTATTAGGTCAGGGGATGGCCTTCCTGTGTATTATAGGTTGAAAAGGCTAAAACTTAGCTAGTCCTTGTAAGTGTTGGGTTGGGGGGGGTCTTTAGCCTATCCTAATGTTAATTATGGACATTCCTTTATTTCTCAGATTGGGATTTAATTAATAGGAGGTTTCTTGTTTCCTTGGAAATGACAATAATTATATATTTCCTTTTGTTGCCATAGGTTTTTAATGTTCATTGGAAGGGAACTGTTGCCTCTTAGTTAGTCAGTGTTGATTGTATCTGCTTGGAATTAGACTGTAGGGAGATTGTAGAGGCAGTCAGCAAAACTCTGGAGAGGAATGATTGTTTTTATTTCTCTAATGTTTAGTTTCCTTTTGCTTATTTTTGTGCTTAATAAGAGCACCAATGAAGAATATTAAAATACATGGGATATGCAAATAACACTGTTTTTAAAACTCAATACTATACTGTGCCTGTGTAATGTAAAGCAGTGACTACATTTGCCTGTGTGTTTGAGTATAAATGAGGAGTTTTTAAAAAGGCATTTTTGTGCCTCATTTTGAACTTACTGAATCAAACTTAGTGTAGGATAAATCAGAACGCCAAAAATCTTGTATTTTAATTTGGTTTTCCCAAGTCCCTCCCTGTTAAATGATTGGCAATAGATAAGATTGGCAAAGTGTTAATAATTATTGGAGCTAGGTAATGGATATACAAGGGTTCATTATACTATTCTCTTCTGTACATGCTTAATTGTTTTCATCTCAGAAAAAATAAAATTTGTAACCTTCCTGAAGCCAGTCTGGCATGTACACAGCCAGTCTTAACTATCATTTTGGAATCACTATTCCCACTTGGACTCATAGTCACCAGATATATTTAACAGAAAGGCAGTAAATACTTACCAGTAATATTTACTGGCAAACCAGTTATTGTAACTCCCTGTGAGATACTTTGAATAGAGATTAATATGTCATATAAATAAAAGTAATTTACTGGACACCTTATTACTCTTACATGGTAAGAGAAAGTTTCATGATTTAACCATCATCATCCTAACTACTGAATATTCGATTCTTATTTATAAGAAGCAGTATTTTTTGTCTATATATCCCATTCCAGATGACATAAAAAAGGAGGTCATGTAGAGCAAACAAAATAAATGACAGAGCATTAATAAGCATTTTTTCTCCTGGAAGTATGGTGAGAAGTGACTTATATGTCTCTTCCTAAAAATTTCCAAGAAGATTCCACCAATAATAACTAAATCAGCAGAATGGGACCTTAGTACTTTTGTATAAGATTTTGAAAAATAAGTTATTTATTGTAGTTGTCCTTTAAGAGTTCACTAGGGCTAGGTATTGGTGGCTCATGCCTATAATCCTAGCTACTTGGGAGGTAGAGATCAGAAGGATTATGGTTTGAAGCAAGCCTGCACAAGTGGTTCTTGAGACCTCCGCCTCTCAAAAAACTCTGTCACAAAAACAGGCTGGAGGAAGAGAAAAGAAAGAGTTCACTAGGACCATGTCTGTTACCATTTCTGTATTTCTCATTTTGTATGTTAAATGCCTTTAATGTTGAATGTCCATGTATTGGAAGGAGCTATAATGGCATCTTACAAGTTATCTGTTAGGGTCCTTTCTAATGTAAAGAAAATTAATATTAGATAGATTTCATCTCAAAGTATCCCCTTCCCTCCATATGTTTATATATTTATTAACTACAGAGGAAAAGATAGTAACTTTATGGTGGTGCCTCCAGCTGAGACCATATTAATCAAATGACTAAGGTTAACACCACAAGAGTATGATGTATGGACATCATAACTCTTCCTTCCCCCTTGCCTCAAACACACACACCTTGATGAAAAGATGAACCAACATTCTCTAATATTCTTACCAAAAATGCCTAGCCTCCTTCCAACCACAAGGAAAAATCAGAGAAACCTACATAAATCGAAGAAGATGAAGGGGAAATAAAAACTAAATATAATGTGGGATCCTTGAAAAAAAAATGATATTAGAAAAAAATTTTGTATGGTTTATTTAATAATTCTACAATAGCAATAATTTTGTGGTTTTGATAATACTAAGATGTTAACATTAAAGAATGCTCAATGAGAGATATTTGGGAACTCATACTGTTTTTGCAGTTTTTGTATAAGTCTAAAATTGGTCCTAAATAAAAAGTTTTAAAAGTCAACACAAACTAGAAAAAACTATCTGCACTGTCTACCATAGAGGTCTGATTTTCTCTTTTTATGTAGATTTCATAGAAATAAGTAGGAAAAGGTAGACATGGAAAACTAGGCAAAGGTGATAAATAAGCAGTTTATGGAAAAAGAAATATAAATAACCAATACCTATATGAAAACATGTGCAACCATTTGTATCATTCAGAAAATGCAAATCAAAGTAAGATATCATCTGTGGAATTGAAGGGCAAAAGGAAGGCTTACTTTTCATTTTATATTTTTCTTACAGGTTTAATTTTTTTTTAAATCATGCACATATTTCTTTTACTTGAAAAATAAAAATTAAAAAGAAATACATGAAGTTCCACAATGCCTAAGAATAATCAGTTTGGGTAGGTGCATTATTGAGCATATTTTACATATGTTAATTTGTTATATGTGCTCTCGAGAAGTATAAAAGTTAGATTTCCTAATGAGAATTTAGGCAACTGAGTTTGTATATTAGTACTTAATTGTCTTATTAGTCACCTGGTGTGCTGGTTAAAAACTGCAGAGGCTTCAATCCTCAACTGTGCTTTATTAAATCTGGACTGATAACCAAGAATTTGTATTTTAAGGGAGTTTCAGAGATAATTCTGAGCAACTTTAATATACTTCTTTATATCACAGGTTTTTATTTTTCTTTAAGATTCATTTTATTTTCTGTCAGCATAATGTTAGAAATTACCCTGCCTTCATTTTCATTAACTTTTTTTTAAAGCAAATATTCCTAGTCGTCTTCTTAACCTTACTTACTCATCATTAGAAAATACCTGAGTGCCAACTAGATGAAATTTATAAAATCTTTTCTTTTTCTTGAAGTTGATCACAGCCGAGTTAAGTTGACTTTAAAGACCCCTTCTCAAGATTCAGACTATATCAATGCAAATTTTATTAAGGTATGTATCAGTCAATGGTAAGGGGTGGGTGGTTTTTTTTTTTTTTTTTTTGTCGGTGGGGGCATACTTAATGTCTTCCTACATCCCAGTTTCATTAAAACTTTTCACATTGCCTAAACATGGTATCAGCAGCAAAAGAAACAAGAATGAAGCTTTTCTTCTAGCCTCCTTATCCATAAAATAAATAGTTTTAGCTTGGTGGGTTTTTTTTGATAGCAGACAGTTCTCTGTTTTGTTTCTTCTTTTATATTAAAGGCTTATAAACACTACCTGTTGGGAGAGAAATGGCCCAAACAATGTGTGCACATATGAATAAATGAGTAAAAAAACCACTACCTATTACTAAATCAGCTTGTAAACCATACCTGAGTTCACATATACAAATATTCTTGGTTATTCCTAGTTGTTGAACCATACATAATGTTACCAGATTATTTCAGAAATGCTACACAAAATTCTTAGACTTGTTCCTTGAGTGTAACCATATTTAAAGTAAGGCTATAATTATCAAAACCAAGAAATTAACATAAATATAACTACTATATTATATAATTAGGAATTACAGACCTTATACAGATTTCATCAGTTTTCCCATTTATGGCTCCTTTTTGTACTAAAATCCATCCCAGGACCCATTTTTCCCTTCTTACAATTTTTATTAGCATATATTAGTCATGCACAGGGATTTCATTGTGACATTTATATATATGCTTATAATGTATGTTAATTTAGATTCACCCCTCCATCATTCAGCCTCATTCTCTCTCTCCCCTATTTTGTTTTTGGATCTTTTTAGTTATTTTACACAACATCCATTTTTTTTTATTTCCTTTATTCATATGTGCATACAATGATTGGGTCATTACTGCCCCCTTCCCTCTGCCCCCTCCCTCTCGCCCCACCCCCTCGCTTCCAAGCAGATACTGTTTTTCCCTTATCTCTAATTTTGTTGAAGAGAGAATATAAACATTAATAAGGAGGACCAGGGGGTTTTGCTAGTTGAGGTAAGGATAGCTATATAGGGAGAGTACTAGCTTTGCTTCCATGTACATGTGTTACTTTCTAAATTGGACATCCATACTTTAATAAGGGATTTTTTTGATAAAAATGTTATGTAGGAAGAATTTAAGTGGTATAATTAATATTGTCTGTCAACATTGAACAGTCATGGTTTCAAATAAAATTTTCAACAAAGTCTTTTATTATAGTTGTAGTAAAACCCAAAATTAATAGATTAAGAAAAAACTAGTAAGTCATTTGTTTCAGCTGTTGTCAATGTTCAGATTCTTTCATATGAACATACATTAAAAGTTATAGTTTTAAATTGTTCTTAATGACACTGATTTATTGAATCCTTCAGTTATGTGCCAATGTTATTGTTTTAGACAGCTGTCCTATTTGATGCATTTTTAAATCTATTTCAAATCAATAAAGTAGATACTCAGTAAACTTTTAAGTTGGATAAATAACTGAAGAAGCCATGGAGGAAAGTAGCTAAGAAATTACTATTAAGTAGTTTTAGTATTACGTTTAGAATTAAACTATGCTTTGTATTTCTGTTATAGTTAGTTCCATTTACTAGGAATTAGGTCTTTTCATTTTAATTCTTAGGTAAATAAATTTTAGTGAGTATAAAGTGATCCTTAACTACCATACAGCATATATAATAAACACACAAAAGTAGTAACAGTTTTCAAAAGTTGAAATGAATGTGTACGTTTTTGCCATGTGTTTATGTACTATGAAAGAAAAGTTATTTAGAAATGTTTTAGATAAAAATTTTATTACTAATAAAATTTGAAGGCTTAAAATTTTGCTTATGAAATATTTTTGATAATCATAGTAAATGTGAAATTTACTTTTAACCATTTTAGGGTGTCTATGGGCCAAAAGCATATGTGGCGACACAAGGACCTTTAGCAAATACAGTAATAGATTTTTGGAGGATGATATGGGAGTACAATGTTGTAGTAAGTAATTTTCTTTTCATAATACATTTTGAGAAGTATTGAAGTAATAACATAGGATGTTTTAAATAAGGAAAGGTTTTTTGGTCTTTTTAGCTATCGTGTGTTTAATTATAACTAATGTTTACAAAAAAGTCAAACTGATTTCTAGAATGTGTCTCATTAAACTCTTACAAACTAGGCTAAATATTTTAAGAAGAGAGTGTGATAATAGTTTAAATCTTGTCCGAAGGGCTGAGGGCATGGCACAATTGGTAGAGTGTCTAGTAAGCAAAAGGTCCTGAGTTCAAACCCTGTAGCGCGCGCACACACACACACACACACACACACACACACACACATCTTAAGGCAGTGACTAATGAACTACCAAACAACTTCAAAAGTGTGAAAAATGATTGCTTTTGTAGATCAATAAAATACTTAATAGTGTAGTCATGTTCTTTAGCTTTTTCCGTTCATAGACCTTTTTGAGTCCCTCTTAGGAAAATATATGTAAGTACACAACTATAAACTGTTAAAGTGAAAGAGAATTTGCAGGACCTACATGTACCTCCCCACCCCAAAATAAAGCTGATTCCATTGGAAGCATATCAAACTAATTAGTATTTTAGTTCCTTCTCTCTTGGATAAAGGAAAATAGTGTGCCTTTAGGTTTGGAAGCAAGGAAATAAGTGAAAAATAAGGTGGATTGAGATGGATAATGGTTTGATAAAACAATTATAGTGAACTGTTAACGACAGATTATAGATTATGACTGTACAGTGTTTATTGTAAAATTCTTTGAACTCATCTCTAAGGTTCGATGTTTCCATTGTAAAATGTTGAGGAGGAAGCAGCTAGAGTAACTTTTATGTTTAAAGAAAGTGTTATATTTAATGCTGTCAAACGTTAGATAATTTTGTTAAATATATTCAAAATAATTGGTATTTGATAAAAAGTACTATTAGGCAAATATCCTAAAATGGGATTTTAATATAATTTCAAAAGTCAGAAGTACATTTAAGATTCACTGAATTTAATTCATACTAAGGAAATCAAGTTAATTGAAGTCAGTTTATTTTCTTGCTGTCTATGTAGCTCTCGTTTGTAAGGTATAACTTTGATAGCTTCTTTAACTTACACTTTTAATGTTAAAGCTACTTCTTTTAGAGAGACATGATAAAAAGTAATTCTTTGAAATTTGTATTTTATTTTAAAAGTAAAATTGTGTTTAACTGATAGATTCTTTATTCCACTCCCCGGCACCTCTTTTTAGATCATTGTAATGGCCTGTCGAGAATTTGAGATGGGAAGGGTATGTATATCTCTTGACATTTTGTTCCTAGGAATAGATATTTCTGGTCTTTTATTTAATCTGAGCCCAAGTAGTTAAAATTTCCATACTTCTACTTTTTTTTTTGTTTTGTTTTGCTGTAACTTCTATTTGACAGAAGAAGTAAAAGTCTCTAAAGCACATTAACTTTTTTCTTACATTTCATAAGTACATTTTATGACATTTAAAATAATTATGTATTATACTTAATATTCTTCAAATATTTAATGATGTAAGTAGAACATAATTTATGGACTAGAGAGTCATTTTAAACTAGTAATTGAGCAAATAAAAATGTGTTCACATAATTCTGATTGTCAACAACTTGTAGCTTGACATTCTAATTAAATCTCTTTGCGAACACTGCTATGTGCATACTATCTTCAAAGCTCCGAGGAGAAAATTTCTTCATTGGTTTTGTTGTTTGGCAGTGCTGGGGATTGAACCCAGGGCCTCATGCACATTAGGCAAACATTCTACCAGTGAACTACATTGCCCCCTTGGCCTTGATTTTTTTTTTAACTGATGCTATATATATATATATATGCATGTATGTATGTATATGTGTGTGTGTGTATACATATATATACATACATGTATATATATATACATATATACACAAGTGAGATAAGATTCAAACCATTATGATGTCTGCAGCTTCTGTTCTGAAGTCTTCCTTGTTGGAAGTGGTGATATATTTATAAAGAACAAATTTATGAAAATATAAATAATGTAGTGACTTTATCTAAGCTTACAAAATACAAAAATTGAAGAATTAAGTAATCTATTTTGTGTTAGCAGTATATACTTAAGTACTATTATTAGGAAATTTAAATTTTACACATGTAATGTTCTTTTAAGTTACTGTTAAGGTTTAGAATATTTCTTTGTTCTACTAATGAGCTCATGTTGTGTGTCAATAGTAATAATGTTTTATGAAAAGTTAGGTTATATTGACAGTAACTTTTTGATGTTATATTAAGAGTAAAACTTTTTTGAAGCTAAAAGTTTCGTGATATATATTGTTTTGTTAGTATATGAAGAATCCCTTGGGCTGAGGGTTTAGCCCAGGGGTATAGAAGTTGGCAAGTATGCACAAACTGCTGGGTTTGATCCACAGCACTTCCCTCCCTCCCCACCAAAAAAAAAAAAAAAAAAATTCCTTATCTGAAATAGTTGGGACCAGAAGCGTTTCAAATTTTAGAATAATTGCATAGACTTGACAATTGAGTACCCCTAATCTGAAATCAATAATGCTTCAGATTAGTAATGCTGCAAAATCTAAAACTTTTGCACAGTCTTGATGCTCAGAAATTTCAAAACATTTCATGTTTCAGATTTTTGAGTTACGGATGCTCAATTTGTAGTAGAGTGAGGCTGAGTTAGGACCTATGAATTTATTTGATAATCTTGACTTTGATTGTGACTTTGAATGTGACCTAATGAAAGGAACATAGATGATGAAATTGGACAAAACTACCCTCTATTAGCATTTTGGCCATGCTGCTGCCTACTGTTCCTTCTAATCTTCAGTTTTCTTTGTTTCTGAAGTGAATATCTGTCCTGCAGAATTAGAGATTATGCATTTATATTATTTAAACACAGTTTTTGGCATCACTTGTTACTTTTTTTGTACATGGACTATAAATACATATAATCGTTATTTACTGCTTTTATCTGAATAAGGGACATGTTATTCATAGCTTTCAATTCTTACCTAAATTAATCTCATATAATTTGTTTCTTGTTTTATTCAAAATATTAAAATTGCCAAGTAGAAGACCAAAATATCAAAAGCAAAAACAAAGCCCTCAAAATTTCTATCAGGTTTGCAGATTATCTGTGGTTTTAAGCCTAAATATTAGTATTTACTCTAAACTGACACACCAGACAGTTCTACTTCTTATGCTGTGTGAGCATTCTTGTCAGTTTATGGCTCATCTCAGCATTTAAGAAATAATATCATTTACTGTTCTTTGGAACTAGGAGAATTTAATCAGAAACTCATGAAGTACAGTTACATAGGAACAAGAAGTTCTGGTGTGTCGTACATTCGGATGACTAAATAATGTACCATATATTTCAAAAAGCTTGAAGAAAGAATTTTGAAAATTTTTATTATGAAGAACTGATAAATATTTGAGGAGACTGATGTTTAGCCTGATTGAAACATTTTACAACGTATACATGTGTTGAGATATAATAATACACTATTAATGTGTATAATTTTTATATTTTATGTGTCAGTTAAAAATTAAGAGAATAAAGAAATTTTCATTGCCAAAAGTCTTTATTTTAAGCTAGTTGGTCAGTTATAGGCTTTCATTATATTGGGTCTTGACAAAAATTACATATTTCCTAGCATCTGAATTACTTGTATCTTCTATTATGATAGGCTTTTCATTAACTTACATAGTTTTCTGAAATGGCAAAGCTTAATTATTAGAAGTCAATGAAAGCAGTTTAAAATTAGAAGGTAAAAGGGGAGACTGATTACACTTTATAGTATGAAATAAAATTAGATAGTTAAAAGAATGCTGGGTTTGAGGCATGGCTCAAGAATGCAAGATCCAGAGTTCAAACTCCAGTACCACCAAAACAGAACAAATTATTACTTGTATGTGGTTTTTTTATATCACTAGAACATTTTGAAATGCTCTTAATTAGTACATGCAATAACTCTAAGATAGGACTTTTTATAAATAAAGAAACTACAGGTCAGTAAAATTAACTCTTGCAAAATTCTAATACCAAGTAAACCAAGTAGAATGCTCTTTCCACTATGTCATAGATATTACACTTAATAAAAATTAACCAGGTAACATAGAGATCTTCGTGTTATATTAAAACTTGCCTGAGACCCCTTTATACTGAATGGGCCTCCTTGTGCCCTGTATTTTGTTAAATCAGTTTTTCTTTTCTGAAGAAGGATCTTTGGTTTGTTCTGTAGACTAAGCAGATGGCAGTAAACAGTTTATACACTTATGTTAAAAAGGTTCTTACGATGAAACTTGGACAGCACACAGTATCTTAGTTTTAACAAAAGTTGGGTTAAATCTTAGCTGTCTGAGTTTCTTGCCTACAGATGTCAGTTTTTCTGTTGGGGGAAGAATTAACAAGCTAAACCCTGGAACACAAAATATCTGTAAAATTTGAAGAAAAACTATCAAGTAGATTACTTACCAACTTTTTTTGGATAACAGAAAAAATGTGAGCGCTATTGGCCTTTGTACGGAGAAGACCCTATAATATTTGCACCATTTAAAATTTCTTGTGTAAGTACCTATTTTTATATTTATTATTTATTCAGAAAAATGGTATGCTAGATTGATAAACCGTTAAACCATTGTGATATGCACCTGAGTTGATACAAGCCATACATTCAATTCCATGTAAAACTGCACTTAACAATAAACCACTATTAACAATGTTTGTTTTTATATTTAGAAGCTTTGGAAATGATTTTTTATAAATGTATAATTTCCTTGTAGCTTGTGTTGGTTCTGTGTTAGCCTTTGTATGTCTGTTGACAATAGTTATTTATGTAAATGAGTAAATGACCAGGCACCTGTGGCTCTAACTACTTGGAGGGTCCAGTGTGAGGCCAGCCTGAGCAAATAGTTCCTGAGACTACATCTCCAAAATAACCAGAACAAAATGGGCTAGAGGTATGGCTCAAGCAATAGAGTGCCTGCTTTATAAGTGTGAAGCCCACATTTCAAACCCCAGTCCCACAAAAAAAGAGAGAGAGAGAGAGAGAGAGTAAATGGAGATCTGGCAAAGTGGCTCAGGTAGTAAAGAAAGAAGTAAAATGTAGGTTAGCTTAAGAACATTTTTCTTTAGGTGCCACATGATATTATGTTTCTTAATCACCTAAAAGAAATGTTTTATTAGCTAAACTTAGAAGGTATGAAAATTAAATAATTTCCCTGTTTAGTTAAGATGCTTAGATTAAAAAGAACCAATAGGGATTGTTTGTGTGTAAAGCTGTCTTATAAGAAATTGGCTCATGAAATTATGGAGGTTGGCAAGTCCAAAATCTGTAGGGTGGGGGGACCCACAAATGTCAGTGCTAGCTGGTGAAGTGGCTTAAGCAGTAAGAGTTCCTGCCTAGCAATTGTGAAGCCCTGAGCTCAAACCCCAGTGCAGCCTAAAAAGAAAAAAGGAAAGATATTAAAGATACTTTAAAAAAGAAAGGCAGTTTTGCAGTTATGGTCTAATGGCCAGCAGCTTAGAGACTCAGGAGAGCTCATGTTCACTTCTAGTCTGAAAACAGTCAATCGTAGAACCAGGAAGAGCTGATGTTGCAAATAGAGGGCGTCTATATGAAAATTCTCTTGCTTAGGGGAAACTGGTACTTTTGTCTATTTAGACCTTTAATTGATTGGATGTGGCCATTATAGAGGATAGTCTACTCAAAGTCACCAATTTAAATGTTCGTGTCATCCAAAACCACCCTCACAGAAATAGTCCGAATAATGTTTAACCAAATAAGTTGGCCTAGCCAAGTTGACATATAAAATTAACTATTACACTCCCCATCACAGAATTGTTTTTGACTTTGTGTTCTATGGTTAAGTGAAGTATAATTTTTACAGTTTTTTTAACTTGCCATTGGTGTATTTAAGAACTCCATAACGTTCAGGCTGGAGATGTAACTCGGTGGTAGAGTGCTTGCCTATCATATGCAAGGTTCTGGGTTTAATTCCCAGCACTGGGGAGAAAAAAACTCCATAATTTCATGATGTATTTGTGCTTTGTACTTCAGAATTCTTCTGATACATTTCTGAAGTCTAGTGCTTCCTAGATTGAAATAGAAAACGACTCAGGCTATATTAGGCTGTCTACTTTATAAATACAATGTGATTTTTGTAATGTTAGCCGTAATTTACAGTAGAACTCAGATTTAATGTGCAGGAAATAGTCTAAACTTGTGGACAGAATTAATCATTTGTGGGTTAAGTGTAAATTTTTTAAAAATCCTACTGCATGTCATGTTATTTGAGATGAATAATAACCAATACGCATCACATCGTCTACTTCAATGAAAAAAATATCCCTTTATCCAATACAGAAATTATTCCACAGTCTTAGGTCCTGAGAAAGTCCAGGGAACCTAGTTCTGTGCAGTTTGGTTGCAGTGATCACGGTGCTCAACATTGAATAGCAAAGCAGCTTAGTAACACCTGATTTGATTTGTTAATTTCAGGATTGATCCTTGTTGTAGAAGTAAAGTTTTTCTATGAAGGTTTCAAAATGAAAAGTAACTTGTATGTCTTGTTGTTTCATACAACTCAGGATTTATTATTGCTGATCTCACTGCAAATAGAAACCAGATTTATAAACAGAAAGCACATTAGTGAAAATAGTCATAGTGAGTGACTTGGCAGTTAATGTTTGAGACTGAGAAATCCCAGTCCTTTGTGGCTCTTTCTTGGTATAAGGATGAGGAAAAGGATAAAATGGTGATGGAAAGGGGAGGCCTGGCTAGCAGAAGCTCAATCCTGTGTTACTATAACTAACCACTTTGATTAGATGTTGGCATATTACCCATGGATCAGCTATTGCCCACTAGGCTTTTTGTCAATAGTTTTATTAGATTGCAAGCATGCCCATTGATTTGAATATTTGACTAATATAACAGTAGACTCAATGGCCCAAACAGCCAAAAATATTTACTATCTGGTCCTTTCAAGAAAAAGTTAGTTTCAGGCCAGTGTTCTTATCTAGACCTCTTTTTTGGTCTGTTTGTTTGTTGTTTATTTTATAATTAGTACATTTACTTACATATTTGTTTGTTTTTGAGACAGGGTCTCACTGTGTAGCCTAGTCTGGCCTTACTTGGTATCTTCTTACCTAAGCCTCTCAAGTGCTAGGATTATAGGCATGTGGCACCATATCTGGCTCTATACTCCTTTTTGATAAAAGTAAAAACTTAACACTTTTAACATTTGAAATGCACAAAGTAAATTACCATAATTTTAAAAAAATTAAAGCAGGACAATAGTAAATATCAATTTTGTTAATAAAATAGCATACACTGTTCTTGACAATTGTTGTTCTAAACTATCTGTGGTTATAACTAACAAGGCCAAACCAATAATTTCTTAAAGACAAAGTGATATAGAGGGTCCTCTCTAGTTAGTATTTTGGCTAAACAACAGTAAGTGACTTTTAAAGTGGGTATGTTATCATAAACCATCATGGACTTCTGTCAAAAGACTATAAATAAAAGTAGATAAACAAATTAATGACTTTTAGAATGGTTGTTTTTATAATAGTCAAGTACATCCAGAATTTTAAGAGTGAATTTTAAATTATGGACTTTAAGTAATGAAAATTCCAAGTGTATATGTTATTTTAATATCTTGAGCCTTATGCTGATCAAGTTGCATAATAAAATGTAATATAAATTTTAACTTACCTAGAACAACTTTCCCAAAATTTAACTTACTATGTATGGAATAATTATGTTTTCTTTGCTGCAAATATTTTTCTTCTATTGCAGTGAGCAGATTATAGTATTATTTACAGCTATTTCCACTTTTACTAGTTTACAGTTTTTAAGAAAGACATGTCATCCTCAAAGCTAAATCTTCATTTAGGGACTGGGTTGTAGCTCAGTGGTAGACTGCATTCCCCAGCACTGCAAGAAATAAAAACAAGTGTTCATTTAGATATGTATTATTTTTACTTCAGGCTGTTTACTTCAGTGTTTTAGAGCCATATAAAATGATAATTTTTCTAGGAAGGAATCAAAAAAGCTGGATGGACATTATAGAAATGTCAGCATCTTCCTCATATTATTTAAACAATTACAAATAATTCAGCTTGGTCATAAGGTACATCATTCTTTCCAAGAAATTTTTAAATATACTGACCTTACTTTTTATAAGCAGACATAGTTCCAGTACTCTTACTCCCTCCTGATTTAGTAAAGTCATTTATTACACTTTGCTTGCTACTTGTTCATCTATAAGAAGAAGGACCTTACTAAATTGTTATCAGACATACAGATGAAGATACAGGGCTTTAAGAAGTTAAATAGCACTGGCGGAATGGTTCAAGTGGTAAGAGTGCCTGCCTAGCAAGCATGAAGCCGAGTTCAAACCCCAGAGCCACCAAAAAAAAAAAAGTTAGATAGCTTACCTACTCAGTAAATGACAGAAGTAGAATTTGTTGTTTTGCCTGGATTCCTCTTTCTGTTAACACCTAGAATAAACATTCTCAGATTATTTTGAAGTGTCAGGATTCCTTTACATTCCTAAAAGTTACTGAGGCTCCCAGAGCATTTTTATGTACGTGGATTATACCTTTTCATATTTACTGTATTAAAATTAGAGCAGAGAATTTTTTAAAGACATTAATACACATTTATATATTATATATTCCATTAGTTGTTAAAGGAAAATGCAAATAACATCTTAATATTATTATTCTAAAAATACTTTAAAACTCAGAAGGTAAAGAGGTACCCAGATGATACACTGATGTATGTAATGAGATGAGTAGGTATGTTTGTTTCTAAGTTCTTTTTCATATTTTTAATATTTATTCTATTGGTCTTCTAATTATAATGAATTCTAACACCATGCTTATGATATGGTGTGTGGATTAAACAGTGTATGGAGTGTAATAGTTAAAGTGCACATTCTGGAGGTTAATACTACTTGGATTAGGTCCTGGATTTGTTACTTCTTGTAAAACATTAGGTGTCAAGGTCATGGCTCAAGTGGTAAAGTGCTTGTCTAGCAAGCAAGAGGCCCAGTATTGCCAAAAAAAAAAAAAGTTATTATCTTTCTGTTTCAGTTTCCTTACATGTAAAATGAAGATGGTATCAACATTACCTGCCTTGTGGTGATTAAAGAAATTATTACATAATGGAACCATTAGCATTACTACTGGGCCTATAGTAAATAGTCAATAAGTGCAGGCTATTTACTTGATTTTTTAAGGTAGTAGCTTAGAAATAATAACTAAATGAAATGTACAGCTTTAAATTTTGCAAATGTATTTTCACAATTATTGATTTTCTGGTTTTCATGAAGGAATCTCGTAGGCTCTATCAGTTTCATTACGTGAACTGGCCAGATCATGATGTTCCTTCTTCATTCGATTCTATTCTGGACATGATAAGCTTAATGAGGAAATACCAAGAACATGAAGATGTGCCTATTTGTATTCATTGCAGGTACAAAAGAATTTTCCAAAAGTATAGATATGGGACTTTTATTTAAATTTGATATTAAATTTTTTATTTCTCCATCAATACGATGATAATCCTAAACGTCTCCTAGCCTTGTTATAGTACACTTGAGACTGGAGCTTTATAAATCGATGCAATTTAATCGGGTTAAATGTTACATTAAAACATAGGATCATCTGTTTGAAAATGCTATTCACTTGATAAAAAGGTATACTTTAATTGTATAGTCTCATAGATGACCATCATTTTAAAAATCAGTAGAACAAGCCAGGTGCTGGTGGCTAATACTTATAATCCTAGCTATTCAGGAGGCAGAGATCAGGAGTGTCGCAGTTTGAAGCCAGTGGGGGCAAACAATTCTCAAGACCCTCGAAAATATCCAACACAAAATAGTGCTGGCAGAGTGGCTTAGCTCAGGTGGTAGAGTGCCTGCCTAGCACAATTCAAGCTGGAGTTTGAATTCAGTATAGCAATATTCTCTTTATATTAATTAAAAACAAAAAAATTACAAGTAGGAGACTTATGTGGATAAAGATCTTAAGAACCAAATATTATTTTATGAACAGATTACTCTTTTTTCCTAAGGAAATTAAAGCTTATTTTAAACAATAAAATTATGGATTTTTCCAGATCAGTTTCCCTTCATTATGTAATAATGAAGGAATTTTCATGACTGATAATCACTGGCATGAGATTTTTTTAAATGCATATAGATATGCATAGATAAATTCTTACTGATCTAAAATTACCATTGGCTTCAAGACACATCACTGGTTCAAATTGTAGAGCTGCCTAGCAAGCATGAGGCCCTAAGTTCAAAACTCACCACCAAAAAAAGGTATATCACTATTTTATATGCACTAAAATGGGAAATCACTGCAATGATAAGGGTTAAAGGTCATTTGTAAAAAGCCACTGAGATGGTGCAATATAGTTTAAAAGTGTGTTTTTGAAGTTATTTTTGTTTGGGCTGGCCTCGAACTTCCATTCTCCCAATCTCTGCTTCCCAAGGAGCTGTGATTACAGGTTTGAGGCACCATATACACCTGGGCTCTTTTTATTATCCAGTTCTTTTTTCCCCACTCACATGCTACTTGATCTGCTTAAAACGAAGAACAAGGAAGCTTTCCAATTGGAAGGAAGAAATCCTCTCAGGGAAGTTAAGAATGCATGGCCCATAGATCATAAACACCTGTATTCTTGGATCTTTAAATATTGCCAATCCTTTCTTCCCTATCCTATCTTACAACCTCTACTGCACTGGGCTTCCAGATGACAACCTCATAGAGCTCACTGTTGCTGTCCTTTCAGAAAGCTTTAACAAAGTAGTATATGGCTCCTTTTGGAGGACTTTTTTTTGTTAGTAGTAGTAGTAGTAGTATAGTAGTAGTAGTAGTAGTACTCAAGAACTCAGTAAGGAAATATAGTTAAGGAAAGATACTAAACAGTATACTAAACAGAAAAAATGTAAGAGCCACCTTAGCTTCACTGTCTTTAAGCTAAACATGTAGTGGCTATAGGAATGTTATGGAGAACACCCTTTTAAAAGGAAAGCACAAAATTAAATTGATGATTAAAATAATACTAAGCATTTGCAGTAACTTTGGAATATAGGTATCATTATAATGTAGGCAATACAGGCTATTTTGAAACCTAATCTTGGAATTTTATCACCTAAGTCAGTGTGTAGGTTTCCAAATAGTAAAAGCTACCTGAATACTGAGGCAGCTTTTCTGCTCAGAATTTATGTTAAGTAATTCAAAAGGCCTTACAGTCTTAGTGCTGATTTCACAAAATTGCTGTCAGTTCATCCCTCTAAGTTATTTGTATCTGCAGTCACATTTATCATCAAAACTAAATGAAGGAAGCACAAGCCTGTAATCCCAGTGCTTGAGAAACTGAGGTAGGAGGCCACTGAGTTCTGGGCCAGTCTGAGCTACATAGTGACCTTATCTCAGAAAAAGTTTTGGTTTTTTCCCCAGGCTTAATGGTTTACTGGTCGATTACTTAGAAGGTTAAAAAGATTTCCTTATTTCTTTTAGTGGAGATGGAAAATCAAACATAGGCGTTTTCCACAAACATCTTCCCCACCACCACAACTCTTTGTTTTTGTTTTTGTTTTTTTTAAGCAGGGTCTTGCTATCTTGGAACTCTACACAGCAAAGACTGACCTCAACTCATGATCCTTCTGCCTCTGCCTACCAAGTACCAGAATTAAAAGCATGTACCACCATACCATGCCTAGCCTGAATACAGTTTTCTTATTTGGTTGGTCTGGTTGCAGTGCCTGTAATTAGTAAAGTAAAAGGGCTGCTTTTTATTTATGGTCTAGGAAAGTGACTTGCTGGTGAAGATACAGGAATCAGCAAACAACTTGATCAATTAGAATAAAATTTTTTCAATAATTTTAATTCAGTGGTTAGTTGACTGGTTTAAAAGGAAAACTGTTAAATTAAAAGATAAAGAAATTGCCTTGACTTGACCTGTTTCACCAATTATTTGAAATTATTTCCTGTTCTGTTAGTTGTCTAATCAGTGAGTATAATTAATAAGGCCATTTTCAATAGAATGTTTTTTTAAATAGTCAAAATAATACATTAATTGTAATGACTTAGAAAACATATCCACAAAAGGAAAAAAATCTTTTTTCCATTCAGTAGGTCCACTAGTGATAACCATTGTTAAAACTAGTGTGTATGTAGTATTTTTGAAAAAAATATTTCCCCCATTTAATATAATATACTTTTTTTCTTTGTTTTTAAACATTGTCCAGGCCCCATTAGTTTAGAGGCTAAGAGCACATTCGTTGTCTTTGTTCTTTTGGTGAAATCACTGCTGGTGCTTAAATAAGTTCCTATGGCTTGAGAGCACTCTCTATCTTTCCTATACTTACTACAGGTTAAAATGATTTACTGTTTCTTCCTCTACCCTGAAACACAAGAGCCTTCTTGAACATAGAGTAATTCTGTCTCTAAAGGATATTGTTAATTTGATATGTTTGAACTTAGGGCCTTGAATTTACTAGGCAGGTACTCTAATACTTTAGCCATGCCCTCACCCTTTTTTCTTTAGTTATTTTTTGAATAGGGTCTTACATTTAGGGATGGGCTGACCTGGAATGCTTTCTGTGTAGCTGGGATGACAAGCATATGCCATCACTTTTGGCTTTTATTGGATGAGATGGGATCTCATAAACTTTTTGTTCAGATTGGCCTGAAATCACAGGCTTTCTAATCTCCCCCTTTTGAGTAGTTGGGACTGTAGTTATGAGTCACCATGCCTGGCCTAGATAGGGTTTTCTGAGGTAGAATTATTAGACTTCCAAGTAAAGGCTGACAGGTATTCTGCATCATTTACTCTTGAAAATTCCTTAAATTTTAAAGATAAAAATACTAACATTGAAGATGATGCCATGGACACACTTTTAAGTTACATTTTGTTTACTAAATAAGTAGAATTTTGTCACATTTCGTAAATGATTTTTTTTTTGCTTCTGAATGCTAATATGTCCATCCATACTTATTTTATAGTTGTTTAATCACAAAAATCAAATTGTCTTTCTCAAACTTTATATCCTTAGTGCAGGCTGTGGAAGAACAGGTGCCATTTGTGCCATAGATTATACGTGGAATTTACTAAAAGCTGGGGTAAGAATAATTTTTATGTAGTATTATATCCAGTTTATTTATTGTGATTTTCAAATTTAATATTAATTGCAGTAAATTATAGAATATGTTTTATTATACATATTTTTCAGAGTAGTTTTACAATGTAAGATATAAAGGTAGTGAAAAGGTATTAATTGCGTATTGTCTTCAGATTATGTGGTAGACAATAGGATGAGTATTGTTCTGGGTGAATGAATGCCTGCATTAGGGATGTAAACTGTACATTTTACTTTGCCTGACAGAGAATCTTCATTGCCTTTTATATTCTTCGTGTAAGTGTATTATATTTAGTAAATATTTATACCTGTAATAGTTATGAATGCTGACTGGCTAAAAACTGTTCAGATTAAAATTCCTTACTAGCTCTATGATCTCAGTTCATTATTAATTTTTATTACTGTTGTTGTTATTGTTTCTACCACTACCATTTCCAGTAAACTGTGTTTGATACTATGGAGGATATAAGGATAAGATATAGTCCTTATTGTATTGTAGATTTGAAAAGATAAGTTTCTTGTTTCTGTGTTCTTTTGGTGCATTCATAATGTGCTCATTTTCTATGCAGTAGGGACAAGTTTTTAATCTTTCATACCATTGTAGTTTGTTTGAATGTCAATCTGTGTCTTAAATACAATAAAGTAAATACCGTGTTTAGTTCCTTTTTTCCTCCCTCTGAATTTTTTTCTGTGCCATCTTACCATTTTTAAATTTTTAGTTCTCAAAAACTATAATCATTTCCTATAAGTAAAAAATTTAACTTAAATTTCTATCGTTTTAACATAAAAATCAAAAATTAAAACTGGAATGGAAAGAAGCATTTAAGTGATTGCCAGGAAACAAAATTTCAAGTTTCTTCAGAAGATTCAAATGCTTGAAACATTTCAAAAGTTGAATATTGTGATCATAGTCCCCATTTGATTGAATTTGACCTAACATAAATATCATCTTTGGCCTTGGATATGACTTGGTATAGAAATTATGTTTTCTAAAGACTCTGAAGCTATAAACCTTGGGAATTGAGCCTGCAGGATCAATATTATTCCCTAGCTCTTTTAGCTGTCTAGGAGACCCTAACCTGTAGAGTAAGTTCAAACTCTTCAAACTCTTCTCTTCTTTGAAAACTTTTCTCCTTTTAGTTTTAGGCTTGTCCACGTTAGCTCTGTTATCCAAATAAACTATACATTCATTCTCTATGCCTGTATGTATTTCCATCACTTTTTATGGATTAACCTTCTTATAATATCCAATTTAATGGTCAACTCCACCCACCAGAATTTGTCACAATCTCTTTATTCCCGTTACACTGTAACATGCTTTGACCAAGTATTTGTTTGTTCACACATCTGGGTCTGCAGCTTGACTATGAAGATCAGGATTAGCTTTGTATCCACAATGCCATGCACAGTGTCTGATAGGTGTTAGGTAGTGCTTAGGAAATGCTTGCAGTTACCCAATATCTATTTAAGGTCTATATGGGAAAAATTAAGGAGTAGTTGTACTGTGAGTTGTCCAACGTTTACATATATGTAATATACATAATATATTACAATATTAAATTCTTTGTTTTAGAAAATACCAGAGGAATTTAATGTATTTAACTTAATACAAGAAATGAGAACACAAAGGCATTCTGCAGTACAAACAAAGGTATAGTTGTTTGTTTCATTTTATGAACTATAGTTTTATAAATGTTTTCTTGTGTTTTTAAAGTGTGTTTTCCCTTGTTTATGATTTACCTCCCTAATAGGAGCAATATGAGCTTGTTCATAGAGCTATCGCCCAACTGTTTGAAAAGCAGTTACAACTATACGAAGTTCACGGAGCCCAGAAAACTGCTGATGGAGTGGTGAGTATTCTTGGCCCATTAATTTTTGACAAACTTTTACTTTTTACCAAGACGTAATATTTAGCATTTAATTGTTGTCATGTGTTTTATTTAAAGTGAAACTTTCTGTTCACTTTTCTGTGTATTTCCCATGACAGTTACTATTTTTACCTTAGATTTTATTCATTTCATCCTTCCTGTTTGTGTCTATAATTAATGACTCCAATACAAATTAAATAATAACCTAAATAAATGTAATGGAAAGAAGCTCTTATATCAAAAGTCATAAAAGTTTAAGATACATTTTAAAAAATTTTACTGATATAGCTAGGTGCTAGTGGCTCACTTAGGAGGCTTCAAAATTGGGAGGATCGTGGTTCTAGGCCAGTCCAGGCAAATAGTTTGTGAAACGCTCATCTCGTAAATAACCAGAGCAAAATGGACTGGAGATGTGGCTCAAGTGGTAGAGCACCTGCTTTGCAAGTGGGAAGCCCTGAGTGCAAAAATTCCAGTCCCACCAGGAAAAAAAAAAAATATTTTTTGAGTGCTCTCTCTCTCTCTCTCTCCTCTTCTATCCCTATCTAATTCATTGTAAATTAATTCTACTTAAATTTTATTTTCCTACTGGCATGATAGTATAAAGTTTTGCAGTTATTTATGGAGACTACATACTTTTTTGTTTTTACTTTATTTTTTTGAGACAAGGTGTCACTATTAGCCCAGCTTGACTTGGAACTATCAATACTCCTGGCACAGTTGCTTGAGTGCTGGAATTACAGGAGTATACCACTATCCCTAGCTTAATAAATGCTTTTTAACTAAGCAGAATTATAGGGCCACCAATCAGTCCCTTTTTGGCATGTTATAGTTCAATGTCATTATAGCCCTAAAAGAGCTTCATGAATATTTAAACTTTTGACCTGACAAAAATTCTGTATTTTCTTCGTGTTCTCATTTCTACCTCTGTTTCTCTTAACTAGTTTTCTTGTTTCTCTTCTACGTACAATCACCTCATCCCTAAATGTACAGCGCTATTTAGGAGGTCGAAATTCTTCTTTTTACATCTTTAGCATTGAACCCATGATAGCTATCACAGGATAAACCAAATATAAAGAAATGAGCTGGAAAATTTATGACCGTTGTTTTCCTTTTTCCCTATGAAATGGTTCTGTAGAATATTTGTTTTCAGTTTCTTGGTTTTCTAAATGAGAGATTTGTTACCAAATGCTGATCTCAATATATTAAAGTAATCTTATACTGATCCATGAGTTTTAGGAATTCTGTGTATTTCCTTTATTAGTCAAGTAACAATTTCAGGTATTAAAGATTTTATATATATATATATATATATAAAATTTCTTTCTTACTTTTTCATTAACATAAGAGTCACTGTACAACTAGGCCATAGAATCTTATAGGACAGCTTTCATATATGCAATCAACTATGGATCTGAATGCTGTTGTACAGCAAATGACTGTGTAATAGCAATGGATGACTTGATTACAAATGGAAAGGGTAATGGATAGTATGGAAAGGATAATGGATAGTAGAAAAGATATATTATCATTCTAGGTAAGTTTTTTATATTTTTCTCCTAAGAAATCTTGTTTTCTGGAACTTTTAAATACAGGTGACTTTTTTTCATTGGATGTCTTTATATGATTGGTAATCTTAAGCCCCAGTTAGAGAAAAATGTGGACTCTAAAGAATTGGAGAAAAGCATCTTTGGTATAGTTGAGTAAAATGATTTGAGATATGCGCATACCATTCTAAACTATGCTATTTCTCTGACAACTTAATTCAGAGGTAAAAGTTTTTTTTAAATGTTGCATTCCTGAATTCTGTAGAAATTTTAGTTTGAAATACTAATTGGTAGTATAAGAGCATACAGTAAATGATACTCATTACAGCTCTTGACTCCCTAGAGAGGAGATCTGGAGAAAATTTATTCTGAAAGCCTATATATATGTCATACTGATTCAGGATTTAGAAACATGTCAATAAGCCATCATCTGTAAGGTGTGCATGCATGTGTTTTTATCCTTTATGTAAAAGACACCATTATCAACACAGTCAACACCAGGATTTTCAACTGTAGAATATTTGGGTAATAACCATAGTTTGTATTACGGTCCTTCTGTACATTTTAGATTGAATTCTGAACACTTTTACCTCAATTACAATAATGTTCTTTATTTTTAAAGCACCCTATTTGAATGTTTTATTTTGCTCTGTAAATCTGTAGGTAATAAAAACAGGTCAGAAGATGGAAAAGTATAACAAACATTACTATGAGTTTGATATTATAGTCATTTGGCCGCAAAACCTAAGTTGACATGGCATGAGGCTATTTATGTTGTACTAAAAAATTACCAGTTTATATTAGAAACAGTTCAATAAAAGCAGTTTCACCTTGGTTATTTATCCTACTTAATGTGCACCTTACAGGTGTTTGATACAAAAACTAATGAGTGTTACGAGAATATTATGTAGTTAATGGAAATCAGTAATATGTTAGAGGAGCTTTATGATGCGGAGTTTATAAATTCTGATGGTCTTAGAACCTAAAACTGGTGACCCACAGTCACCAGTCTAGGGTGGTAATATTTTATACCTATTGTTTAGATATAGTAATTAATAGTCTTCTTCTTTTATTCTCAAGAAATCCTTGATCCAGTCAGGGAAATGAGGAAAAAAAAAATCCTTGATCCATAAATTATATGATCACCCTACCATTAACACATATCCCTCAACTGATGCCTCAACTCATATGGTAGGCGGCTTTTAATTAAGGATGAAAGTTTCTAATCTTATGATGTAAAACTGTTGTTCTGATCATATGGATATGTAAAATGCTCTCCTAATCCTTCACCCATTATATATCAGGAGACAGTGCACACTAAAAATTGCTCGAAAGTTAAGATCTCTATTTTCTTATGTTGAATTGACTTTGGATTATCAATGTGTTAATGAGTCATTTGTCCTGGTGACCCATAAAACCATGAATATCCTGGATGGGCTCTCCCTGTCATTTTGGATTCCATATAATTAGTAATATAAGGTCTATATCCCTAAAGGAATAGGCACTTCACATGGCGACAGAGGCACAGGGTGTGGCAGGAAATGTTTCAAATGAATCATAAGCCAGACACGGTGGCTCAACACTTAAAATGCCAATACTTGGAAGGCAGAAATCTTCAGTTTGAGGCCAGCCTGAGCTACATAGAGACCCTGACTCAAAACTAAAATAAAATAAATCATAGAACCAGTGTTACTAAGTACCAGGGAGTCATAGTAGTGTCCAAAAAAGATTGGGAAAGGTGCAGGTTATAAACTTTATTGTGTTGCCTTTTTCCCTTTCTGCACATAAAAAGTTTCTAGTAGTAGTGATTGCTAGGAAAAAAAAAAAAGCTAACTTCTTTGATATTTATTTTCTTGAAAACCTGTTTTTTTACAGAAGTATTGGAAATGTGTTGACTTGCTGAGGTACACAGTTGATCTTCCAGTAATTGTTGGTAGGGTGTTTGTTAATAGAAATCTGAAGTTTGGTCCTTCAGATTAAAATACAGGGCTAGAATTTAACCATTTTGTTACTTTCCAAAATTATTGTTTTACAGTCAAATCAGAAACAACCTTGTTGAACATGAGGAAGTAAAATTATTTTTTCTTCAAAGTTTAGTGAAGCATTGTTTTCCCTTGGCAGAATGAAATTACCACTGAAAATATGGTCAGCTCCATAGATACCGAAAAACAAGATTCTCCTCCTCCAAAGCCACCAAGGACCCGCAGGTATTGTAGAACCTTTTCTTTGAGGGGATTCTTTTATTTTATTGACTATTTATTAAACGGACAAGTTCTGATTTTTTTTTTTTGAGTATTGGGGGTTGAACAGAGTCTCCAGCTTGGTGCTCTACTACTTGATACACACAGTGCCAGCCCCAAGTTTTGAATATTTCTAAGTTCTATAACTGTTACTCTTTTGTTTAGGATGTAACACATACATGATGATAGATTTGTTACTAGTGTACTAAAATTTTATTTTGTTAAAAATGTTAGTACACTGTAGCAGAGCACAGTGATACAATCATGAATTGAATATAGCTTATGTTTTGGTGCATGTTAAAATTAAAATTTTCGATATTCTGAAGATTTCCAGTTTCTTGTAATGACTTGCCCAAAATGGCAGGCATGTTGAGGAAAGTTACGTGAAGTTTAATGACATTATTAGTAAAGATAGCCTTATTTCTCTATTTTTTTCTTACTTTCATACCAACCTCATTCATAAAGTTAACTTCACATGTATTTTTATCTCTTTTCTTCCACTCTCTTCTTTTTCAGGATAACTGCTAGATTAGTTATGTGGTAGTATGGAAGGAATATAGACAGAGTCAGAAGTACTCAGTCATTTAGTTCTGGAGTTGTAAGTCCCTTATTTAATCCTTGGATTTTTTTTTTTTAATTATTGTTGTCTTAAGTATTGTCCTAAAGATTAAATAAAACTATTATAATACTTTATAGCATCTTATTTTAAACATAAATTTGTCCAAACTGATTAACTGTTGCCTTAAAGTAGGATTGTTTTATACAGAGTTCAGCAGTTCTTTTCCTGTTAAAAGTTTGGTGGAAATAGAAGAAAGGTTATTGAGGTGTTTAAGGCTAGGTCTTGGCATTGAGTTGCTGATAATCAAAAGATTGCCCTAATGAGAACAACCCTCTTTCCAAAAGAAATAGCCTACAGCTTCCCTTAATAACTGAAGATTTGGTCAGAATCCTGTACTCTTCACGAGCAGTTTGTCTCACATTTTGGCCATACAAGCTTCTAGCTGTGTTTGAAGGAATCTCCTAAATATGGAAAGAGACCTGTACACTCTGGAATAAAGAAGTTTTTTACATTGGGAAGTCTCATTTCAAATATTAACTTCAGTATTTACCAACTGAATGAACTTGTTAAAGCTGTTCCTCTGAAAATTCTTTATCTTACTATTTGAGGTACATTATCACTTTTCACTTTTCAGTGTTAACATTTAGCAATATTATATTGAAGCGTGTAGCACATGCCTGGCCTGTAATGGATTTCAATGTATAATTATTATAGTCTTTAATAATTTCTTTGCATGCTTCTTAAAGAAATCAGGAAGCCTATATAGTGAGGTTAAGTGTCAGCATTTAATTGCCCGAGATACTAACTGTTGGCCAGCAAAACTTCCCATTAGTTCTTTCCAGTTTCATTTCCACCTTGATAAATACATTTTAGCATTTTGGCTTCTTGTGAGGAGGCCAAAGAGGCCAGTTGAAACACCTACAAACTGTTTTCTAACTTAGAGTCCTAGGTATTAAGGAAGCTAAGTAATATCTTTTATTTTATGAGATTAAGCCCGTGTAGAAATATTCCAAGTGTATACTGGTTTTTTGGCTATACTGGTGTTTGAACTCATGGCCTTGTGTTTGCTAAATTGGTGCTCTACCACTTGAGTCATGCCTCCAGCCCTTATGCTGTAGAAATTTTTCAAATAGGGTCTTGTATTCCTGTCTGGTCCAGCCTAGACCACAATCCTATTTATGCTTCCTGCCTTGCTGGGATGACAGGTGCATCCCCCACACCCAGCCTTTTTATTTGAGACGGAGTTTGGGGAACTTTTTACCTGGGCTTGGCCTCAAATCCTCCCCATGTCCACCTCACAAGTACCTGGGATAACAGGCATGAGCCATCACATTCAGCTGTACTTTTTATCTATATGTTTTCTCCCTCTTAACAACATGTAATAATAACATGTTCCCAATACTGCAAGGAAAAAAATAAAAAGAAGTCTAAATTGTAAACCTTTCTCTATCCTGTTTCAACAGTTGACTTTTGTTAAGTAATTTTAAAAATAGTAATAAAGTTTTTATTGGATGTACATGCACAAAGTTATATATGGGTGATTTTTGTTACTAATTTTTGACCCTAAACTCTTGGAATTGTGGTATCAGCTGAGCAGTGAAGTAGGCTCTTTGTTTGTTTGCTTTTTATTTGCTTATATTAGTTGTACAGGGGGATACATTGTGACTTTACATATATGCTTGCAATATATCATAATTAGACTCAACTCCTCTATCATTCTCTCTCATACCTCCCTCTGAGAAAAATTTCAATAAGTTTTATTGTCTACCATATTCGCCTTCCTTGCCTTCTCCATTTAACACCGCCTCCCATAACTACCCACAGACAAGACCTGTTTTACCTTCCTGTCCTGCATGTTTTTAAAATACATATTGATTGTTCAAGGGGGTTTTGCCTTGGTATTTCAGTCATGTATATATCATGCTTTAATCAAATTAACCCCCCACCACTGCTTACTCATTCTCTATTATACTGCTCCCTTATTATTGAACAGTTTACAGTGCATTACATTATACTATCTTCGTGTACAGGTACATTGTGTATTAATATTACTCGCTCTCTGTCATCCTCTCTTCCTCTCCTGACTCCTGGTAGTCCACTCAGACAGATCTCCTAATACAGTCATGTTGTAATGAAGTAGACTTTTATTCTTGGCCAAGAATAGGAGAACTGGTAGGTAAATTTTCATATCAACTTACTAACCCTTTAGGGTCAGCAGATTATAGTTATAGGGCAATAGAAAAAGGATGGGAGATCTGGTTGAGGGGTACATACATAATCCCAGTGCTCTGAAGGCTGAGGCAGGAAGCTCTAGTTCAAAGCCAATTTGGGCTACATAATTAGTTTCAAGCCAGCCTGGACTACATAGACCCTATCTCATAAAAAGGGAGGAGGGTAGGCTAATAAAGGGAGGAATACTTGTGTCTTTTCTGGGAACGGGTGAGAGGTTTTTTTAGGAATTCTGATGCCATCTCTCTTTACTCATTTTGTGGTTCTTTTGTGTCATCTTCATGGCTATTGTTAACTGTCAGGGCACTGCGGTGGTGTCACTTAGCATGCACATGAAATTAGAGGCTGTCTTTTGGTTACTTTGGTAGCCATCTTAGATACAACTGATTTTGGTTAGCTAACTAAAGAGGAAATTCTAGTCTATAAGGCATCCTGTTTTCAAAAACAAACAAGATAGGGTGGGGTAGAAATTTAACTAGGCCACACAGAGTAACAATTTTATATTACATGCATAGATCGTCTTTTTTTCTTCATTATTCAGTGGAGTAAATGCCACAATTTCATTGTGGTCCAGAAAGACCACAGAAGACTTTGTGGCTTCAAAATTCAGATTAGTGTTAGACCTAAATTACTGCAACAGACCTGAAAGTAAAATCACAAAATCAAAAGACTGATAAAAAGTAAAAGCAGCATAATTTATTAGTGTGACTATAGTATCAGATTTATTAGATATTTTAAGTACATGTTACTGAAGAAAATTTAGAGAGGAAGGCTTATGTTTGTTGATTAGATGTAATCACTTCCATGGCTGGGGTATGGCTCAAGCAGTAGAGCCCTTGCCTAGTAGGCAGGAAGACCCTGAGTTGAAACCCCTATTACCGCAAAAAGAAAACAAGTATGACCCTGATTAAATCATTTATGCTTCTGGTTTATAAATACTTTAAATCTCATTGTAATTGAATAGCAGATTTCACTGTCTGTTTTTTAACTCATATTTTGTTAAACTTAACAGAAAACAGAATTCTCTCTAATTTATTTACTAACCACCAGTATGTGTGAAATGTACCCAATTAGCTGTTTCTATAAACTGCCACAGATTTAACTCCAAGAAATAAAAGAGTGCATGGCTTCGTAAATTTTCTTAATCTACTTAATATTTCAGGGACAGTGACAGTTACACTTCACATTCTTTTCGCTTGCACCAATTTCATGGTTTTGGGAAGAAAACAAATTGTGGTTGTGCTTTAGGCATTTTGATCTCTAGGCTAGAGATAAAGGTTTATTGATGGTTCATTATATTAACTGATAATACATGATTGGGGCATCCATCATTTAATTTCTGGGTATAGACTAAAGAACAAACTAGGAAAGAGTGATGTTATAGAGGCCATGAACAAGAGAGGTTTTGTTTTGTTTCATTTTGCAGTGCTTGGGGGAATGAGCTTAGGGCCTCCTATATACTAGGTGTACTCTGCTACTAAGCCTACTCATAACCCCAATATTTTTTCCCTTTTTTTTTTTTTCGGTGCTGGGGACCGAACTCAGGGCCTTACACTTGCCAGGCAAGCGCTCTTCCACTGAGCTAAATCCCCAACCCCCATAACCCCAATAGAGGCAAAAATACTCCCTGTTGTCTAGGAGAATGAACTGGACTTTCAAACCTATTCTGTCTGAGAATGAGGGCATTGGTGGTGTTAAAACAAGGAGTTACAATTTGTTCAAATTGAAGCATTTGAAACTGCATCATTTAGGGAATTCTCAGATAGCATAGAATGTGGTGGAAGGTTGGTGACTCAGGACCATGAGAAAAATGCAAGTAGAAAATTAGGAGATGGGAGAAAAACATACCTCACATGCATAAAACAAGTATTACTCTTTTAAAAATAATTTAGCAATAATTTATTTTAGTGTAACAAGATAAAGTAGGAGGAAGTGGAAGGGAGAAAAAGAAACATTTCCTGCTCCCCTCAATGGAAATAGGAGTAAAGGCTTACAAGTATATCTCAGTCTTCCTGTTTTTTTGTAGAATTTTTTCATAGTTTGGGCTTAGGGTTGTGGTTCAAATAGTAGAGTGCCTGTCTAGCAGGTGCGAGGCCCTGAATTCAACCCCCATAACCACTAAAAAAAAAAAAACAAAACAAAATTCATTTTTGAATTGTTATTTTCCTTTTGTTTGTTTAAAGATAATTATGTTAAACACTAACAAGATGCCTTATGGTTGTTAATTTATAGGAAAGATGGGGGCGGGGGAGAAATGACCCAAACAATGTATGCACATGTGAATAAATGAATAAAAAAAAAGATAGTGGCAAGGTATCTGGATAAAAGAAGAGCTAGTACCACTTAAATAGAAAGTAGAACTTTACGTAAAAACGTTTTAACTTGCATTAATGTAAAAAGTTAAGAGTTCTTGGTTGGAAAATGTAAATGTAATTTAGATTTTAAGTGATATTTAAAATATCATTTCTTTTCAGATTTGATGTAATTCTCATCAAAATGCCAGAAAGATCTGTATTTCTGAAATCATGTTAAATATAATCTTAAAGTTCATCTGGATTTCTCTCTTTTTTTTTTTCTCTCGGTAGTACTGGAGTTTGAACTCAGGGCCTCACACTTACTAGGCAGGCGTTCTACCACTTGAGCCTCTCCGCCAACCCTTCATCTGGATTTCTAAAGAAGCAAAACTACCAAAGCAAACATAGAAAGAAAATAGTGAGAAGAGGGAACCAACCCTTTTATAAATTGTAAAACTCTAATACTTAAAATACTCTCTTACTGGGCCGGCGGGGTGGCTCAAGCAGTAAGAGTAAGTGTGAAGTCCTGAGTTTAAACCCCAGTGCTGCCAAAAAAAAAAAAAAAGACCACTCTTACTAATAAAAAGAAATACATTTACCAACTGATGGTTGGTAACAACTAGGGAATAGGCATGTCTAATTAGGAGTATGTTTAATATATACTAAATAATAGGAATATTGGAAAGACTTACTTATAAAGTCATATTATACTATTAACCATTTGGGGAGAAAATGTGTTTTACGTCTTTATTTCACATCAAAACCAAAATAAGCGTCAAATGATTAAACAAATAGAAAATACCAAAAAAAAAAAAAAACCATTGAAAGCATAATTTAACATTTGACCAATTTATAGAAGTGGCCAGATGCTGGTGGCTTGCGCCTGTAAAACTAGCTGCATGGGAGGATTGAATTCAGGCCAGCCCAAGCAAAAAAATAAAAAGTTAAGGAGACCCCCCTAATCAATGGAAGAAATCTGGGTGTGGTGGCTCATACCTGTCATCCCAGGATCATGGTCTAGTCCACCCTGAGCAAAAAGTGAGGCCCTATCTTAAAAATAAGCAGAGCTAAAAGTTCTGGAGGCATGGTTTAGCAGTAGAGCGCCTGCCTAGCAAGCATGAAGACCTGAATTCAAACCCAGTAATACCAAAAGGAGGGGGACAATCAAGCTTGTAGGTGTGGCTATAATAGAAGGGATAAAGGAAATCACAAAGGACAGTAGTGATTCATTTGAGCACTTAATACTTTTAAAGTTTTAATTATTCATTCCACATAGGCATCTTTTAAACTTAATAAGGATAGATTTTAGCACAATGAAGGGTTTATGTACATGGTCTTACTATAGGTCTCTATTTTCTATGCTTTCTGTGTTTTAATCCTTTTCTTTCCAATTGTTGGGTTATTTTTACTGTTAAAAACATCTTTGATCTGAAATGTAATTTTAAAAGTTTTTTGGGGGGGTGGTGAGACTGGGGTTTGAACTCAGGGCTTTGTGCTTACAAACCAGGTGCTCTACCTACCACCTGAGCCACACTTCCAGTTCATTTTGGTCTGGTTATTTTGGAGATAGAGATTTGAGAACTATTTGCCCAGATTGGCCTTAAACCGAGATCCTCCCAACCTTAGCTTCTCAAGTCACTAGTATTACAGGCCACCAGTGAGTCACTGTTACCCAGCTTAAAAGGTACTGATAGAGGTCAAAAAAGGATGAGTACAGGTGGAAGCATCTTTTTCAGTTCCAAATTGTAAATAGCATATAAGATAGAACATTTTTAGTTTAAAAGTAATTATTAACATTGATAAAACATCTGCTATTTATGCTGTTACATCTTCCTTTTTCTTAGTTGGCCATGTCATCTCTATTCATTCTGCAAGTAGTTGATTATAAGTGAAAAATGGTAAGTGACATAGTGAGCTCAGTGATTTTACAGTAAACATGGTCACATGGCTTTTGATAGTTTTAAAACTGAGTCCCAAAAAAGTTGACTAGCCTTTTTTGTGTTCAGCTAAGAACACAATTTGTGTGTGTGTGTGTGTGTGTGTGTGTGTGTGTGTGTGTGTGTGGTACTGGCTCTGTCTGAAAAAAAAAATTATAAACAAAAACATAGAGTAAAAGATAGAAAATAGGATAGGAAAGGTAAAAGTAGAGAACTAATATTCTGAAAGGAGACTAGAGGAGAAGAAATTAGCAAAGAAATAAGTAAAGCTTCTAGAGCCGGGTGCTGGTAGTTCACGCCTGTAATCCTAGCTACTCAGGAGGCAGAGATAAGGAGGAGCAAAGTTCGGAGCCAGCCAGGCAAATAATTTGCGAGACCCTATCTCAAAAATGCCCACCACAGGGCTGGGATGTAGCTCGGTGGTACAGCGCTTGCCTAGCATGAGTGAGGCCCTGGGTTCAATCCCAGCACCAAAAAAGAAAAAAAAGACAAAAAAAAAAAAAAAATGCCCACCACAAAAAAGGGCTGGTAGAGTGGCTCAAAAATAAGGCCCTATGTTCAAAAGTACTGCCAAAAAAAGAAAACACCTCTAGAAGTAAAGGACATGAATTTTTCTTAAAGAAAATATACAGCAAATTTCCAGTATACTACATTAAAAATAGAGCTTTAATACAATAGAATTTTTAAAAATTACATCATGAGTCTGTAGAATGTCAATAATAAAAATAAAATCTAAAAATACAGAGAGAGAGAAAGGAACCTTCACAGTTAAAGAAATAAGAATCAGGGCTGGCAGAGTGGCTCAAACAGTAGAGTGCCTACCTAGCAAGCACCAGGCCCTGAGTTCAAACTCCAGTACCACCTACTCTGCACAGAAAAAAGAAATAAGAACCAGAATTGCAAAATTCTTGAGGAAAGCTGTTTGCAATCTAGAATTCTGTAACTGAAAAATTCATCAGTATCTGGGATATGATATAATACTATAATATATTCCTCATGTATTTAAGCTCTCAAGAAGTTTGCATTCAGCCTATTATAATAGTGCATACCTGTAATCCCAGCACTTGGGAGACTGAGGCTGGAGGATTGTGAATTCAAGCCCAGCTTGGGCTACATAGTGAGACCACATCTCAAAAAACAAAGCAAATCAAAATAAAAACAGTAACAACAAATGAAGTTTCCCTTCTATATATAGTGCTTGAGAACCATCTAGAGAATGTAGCCGACCAAAACAGGGAATATATTTAGAAAGTTCAAAATAAAGTCTGGGAAACAGGAGAATCTGAAGCTGAGACTCTATGGTGTCCTAGGGAGCCAGTTGTTGAACCTGGATCAAGAGAACAAAGACATCTAAGATGTCTGTGGAATTGATACTACCTGGTGTGCTTGACCTGAGAGGAGGTATACAAATCTGCAGGAAATAACTGAGTTACTGATGTTACCAAAGAGAACTAAGCCATGTGAACCCAAAGGTTATTGTTAGGGTAAAAAGAAGTTATCCCAAAAAAATGGTGTCGTAAGTATGAATAATATCCAGTCATAAGATGTAGTTAACAAAAAATTATAAATATATATATCTTGGGAAGAAGTCAGTACAAAATGTGTGAAACAAAAAGACTTAAGAAATAGCAGTGTAAACATTTTGAAATACTGAGGTTAATCTTAGAAGAAGCTGTGAAAAAAGTTAAAAGTAGTTGCTGCTGACTAGTAGATTCTGGTAGAAGTGAACTACTGGTTTTCATTACCAGTCTTGTGTTAATAACTTTTTAAAGTAGAATATATGTATTACCTTGATAAACATTAAATTTTCTTAATCTGACATACTTTTTTATTTATAACTATTCTCATGGCTTTTAATGTAACAGTTTTAGCTATAATTGTCATGTATCAACTTAATTTTAAAAGGATAGACATTCTTAAAATACCCTTTATTAATGTTTTTCAGTTGCCTTGTAGAAGGGGATGCTAAGGAAGAAATACTGCAGCCACCTGAACCTCATCCAGTTCCACCCATCTTGACACCTTCTCCCCCATCAGCTTTCCCAACAGTCACTACTGTGTGGCAGGACAATGACAGATACCACCCAAAGCCAGTGTTGCACGTGGTCTCATCAGAACAACATTCAACAGACCTCAACAGAAACTATAATAAATCAACAGACCTTCCAGGGAAAAGTGATACAACTATTGAACAGATAGATAAAAAATTGGAGCGAAATTTAAGTTTTGAGATTAAGAAGGTCCCTCTCCAAGAGGGACCAAAGAGTTTTGATGGGAACACACTCTTGAATAGGGGACATGCAATTAAAATTAAATCTGCTTCATCTTGTATAACTGATAAAATCTCTAAGCCACAAGAATTAAGTTCAGGGGATATAAAAGTAGATGATATTTCTCAGAATTCTTGTGTGGACTGCAGTACAACACAGTCAAACAAAGCTCCTGTTACTTTACCAGAAGAATCACAGAAGAATTCGGACCCACCTCCAAGGCCAGACCGCTTACCTCTTGATAAGAAAGGACATGTAACATGGTCATTTCATGGACCCGAGCACACCACACCCATATCTGATTCATCCGAAAGCAAATCCTCAGATGTCCACTCTCAAACTATAAAAACTGGGAATTTAACACCAAACCCTGCTGTGGAAGTTGAAACCCATGATCTTGTGGATCATCCTAACAGTTCACCTCTATTCAGAGCACCTCTTAGCTTTACTAATCCTCTTCACTCTGATGACTCAGACTCAGACTCAGATGAAAGGAACTCTAATGGTGCTGTAACCAAGAATAAAACTAGTATTTCGACAGCAAGTGCTACAGTTTCTGCTGCCACAAGTACTGAAAGCATTTCTACTAGGAAAGTATTGCCAATGTCCATTGCTAGACATGATATGGCAGGAACAATATATTCAGGTGCTGAAAAAGGTAATACAGTTTCTAATACTTAAATATTTTTACCATGTGCTATTCACTGTTCTAAGCACATTAGCTATGTTTGTAATATTTTATTCCATTCCATACTCCAAAACCTACAACAAAGTTTAGTTTTTTAGACAGCTTTTTAGATCATTTTTATTTTGTTACCTCAGTTTGATCACTGTACTAGTGAGTTTCATTTTTCCAAAATATTTTAATTGTTGTAACTAGAAAATTACGTTTTCTTCTGTATTTCAGCTCTTAGTGTTTTGCATAAGTCAGAAATTTATCTGACTAATTAGAAATAATTTGGGGAAGATAAAATCATTTATAGTAACAGTGACAAATACTATAGAATGTCTTAGTTGGTTGTTGAATTTCACTCATGTTTCTCATAAATATTTAGTCATCTCACTTACTTTAAAAAAAAAAACTGTTGACAAATGCTTGCAGATAAAGTTGCTCTCAACCCTGAGTTTAATCCAGGAGCAATATTGGAAACTACTAAGCAGTTAAAATTTACTACTGAACAGGATATGTACATACCCAGTTACTAAAACTATGATTTAATTAATGATTCTTCTTTAAGCCTTCCAAGATAATTTAGAATTTACTTCAAAGTAATGCATGCTCCTTAGTTCCCAAGATATGTTATTGACTATTTCTATTTTATTTTGTATTTTTGAGATCGGGTCTCCCTTATGATAGTCCGGGCTGGTCTGGGACTCCTGATCCTCCTGCCTCAGCTTCCCTAGTGCTGGAAATATAGGGTGTGCACCACCATTGCCTAGTGTATTATTAGTTCTTAAAACTCCTTGATCTATAAATTATCATGGCTGCCTTCTTAAGAAGACCATCAAGTTGAGAAGCAGACATTATAAAAATGAGAGCTATTTATTGATATATTGATTACCAGTGGTCTATTTAGCTGTCAGTGAGCTTTGGTACTGACTCACACAGACTGATATTTATAATGTGCAGACAAAATCAGTACAGCAAACTTGAAAAATGACTTTCTTTTTCTAACCCAGTGTAATACCATCTATACTGTGGTACTTTTTGTTTTCCCTAATCATACATGCTGTTTTTTGTCTTGAGATGATCTGGTAAGAGTAGATGAGCATCTAAGCTAGTTTTTAAGTTACAGAATTCTATTTCTTGATTCTCCCATTACTTATTTGAAGGCTGTGTTCAGAGATATTGGTTGCCATAACAAGTATTACTTTACCAGTTTGCCATAATTTTAAAGTGTTAGTATCTTTTCTTCCTCAACTTTTGAGTTTCAAATACAACTGCCACCCTACACCTGTACAAGAGAATATGTAGGCAAGAAATTTTAATTTTGGCATTTTTCTTGAACTGTTAACCTGGAAATAGAGTTTGGTGAGGACAGTAAGAATACTTGAAATGATACACTATTAAAAGTTACTGGCATGAATAGTCCTGCGATAGCAGAAAGAGTTCCTTTAAAATAACAAATACTGTACAGGGATAATTGAAAAGGATCCTGCTGTAGACTAACTCACCTCAGTTCTTTCAGTTTTATTTGTGTTTCAAAACAAAGATAAATCTGCTTCTTTTTACCTTACTCTAACTATACCTTTTAAAATGTTCATTGCTACAACCTAACTTCAGGTAGTCCTTTTGTTTTTTTTGATACAGGGTCTTGCTATGTGCCCGAGGGGCTAGCTTAGATCAATTCTCCTGTGTCTGCCTCTCAAGTGCTGGAATTACAAGCATGCATCATCACATGCCCGGCACAAGTAGGCCTATTTTTAATTGTTACTAATTATTTACCATGCAGATTACTTTATATCATCTTATAGGTGATTATTTATTTTTAGTAACTTGCTTTGTAGAACCATTCACACAGAATTAGGGATTTTTTTTCTCCTAAAATTTATTAGTGAATTAGCTCAATAGTTTTGTACTGATACCTAAAACAACCTTTTGTATAAGTTACTGCCTGACAAAAGTTCCTGTTTTGTTTTCTTTTGTTTATTTGTTTTGGTGCTTGACATTGAACCTAAGACCTCATGTATGCTAAGCATGTGCTATGAATTCTCATCTCAGCCTGGCCTCATACCTCCTGAAAAATGTCTCAGAGTTGGCTAGAATAGACCCCGTACAGTGTATGATTCGCAAAAGGCCTCTGTAAAATGTGTGTTCTCTGGTTGTATTATCTCTAAAAAAGGTTTGTAATGTAAGAAAGGTGATCTCTAGACATCCAGAAAGAAAAATATAGTTGAGAACCAAGGGGCACAATTAGAAAATAAATATTTTTGATTTAATTTTATTTTTTATTTATCGTACATTAATAATACGGCAGAATTTCACTGTAGTAATTCTGTACATATGTACAGTATACCTTAAATAAGTTCACTCCCTCCATTGTATTCCCATTCCCCTTCTTCTTCCCTCCCCCCTCACCCCCCTTTCAAACTTTGTTTGGTGGGTTTCATCATGCTGTCTTCATGTATCATACTTCCATCTTCTTCATCCCTTAGTATTGTTTCCTTCCCCCTCCCCTCCTCCCACTAATCTCCCCCTATAGTCTCCCATATACATTCATTATTATTATGTTATCATCATCATCATTTTAGGGCGAGGTTCCGCAAATGTCAAGAACACGTGCTATTTGGCCCTTTGAGCTTGGTTTATCTTGCTCAGCATGATGATCTCTAGTTCCATTCATTTGCTTGCAAATGACATAATTTCATTTTTCTTTATGGCTGAGAAATATTACATAGTATATGTACACCATATTTTCTTTATATATCGGTTGTTGGGCACCTTGACCGATTCCACAGTTTGGCTAATGTGAAGAGAGCTGCAATAACATGGATATGCAGGTCACTCTTTTGTATATTGATGTCTATTCCTTCAGATATATACCTGAGTTGTATGATGGGGTCAGTAAAGTAGGTCTATTTTTAGTTTTTTGAGACACCTCCATACTAATTTCCATAGTGGTTGCACTAGTTTACATTCCCACCAATAGTGTATAAGAGTTCTTTTTTTCCTCACATTATCTCTAGCATTTGTTGTTGTTTGTTTTCTTGATATTGGTCAATCTGGTGTGAGATGGAATCTTAGTGTAGTTTTGATTTTCATTTCCTTTATGACTAAGGATTTTGAACATTGCTTCATATATATTAACCATTTGTATTTCTTCTGAGAACTGTCTATTCAGTTCATTTGCCCATTTATTAATTGGGTTATTTGTTCTACTGCTTAGTTCTTTGGGCTCTTTGTATATTCCAGATATTGATCCCTTATCTGTTGTAGTTGGTGAAGATTTTTCTCCCATTTTATGAGTTGTCTTTTGATTCTGGTAACTATTTCTTTCGAAGTACAGAAAATAAAATTCTTTAAGAGTAAAAATTGTCATGAAAGAAGCGGCACAGAGTTTTAAAGATACGTGTTAAATATTTAGAAACATGTAGTACTGTACTTCCTTCTTTGTTCACTTAATTTATGAAATGGTACCAGAATGCCACATTATGTGCCCTTTCTTTAGAATAGCCATTCCTCACTGTGAGTTGTCAGTAACGAGGGCAAAGGGGTAAATATGCTTGTGTTCCATACTGTTCCTGCTGCCCTTCTGGACTGGGACTCTCTCAGCAGAACACAAAGACTTTATGTATCTTTAGCTAAGTAAGTGCAGGAGAGGCAAGAGCAATCACAAGCCTCAATGCGTGTTGAGAATTTACTTGATTTTTAATTTCTTTTTAATGTGTATCTTATCAGATGTGGTAAAACAGAATATCATGGCCAGACTGTTCATTTTTAAAGAAAACAATGGGTAAGACCAAGACAATTTGATATAGGAGCCTCACATTTCCTTATCCTAAGATTCCATACACATTGTTGTGTGCTCATATTTCTCTGCCCCCAGTGAAAACTCAAAACTCCATTCATTCATTTATTCCAAGTCATAATGGTGACCTATGCAGCTTACTTACTGAACTATCTTTTCCAAGAGCTAATTCGTTTTCACTGGTTAAAAAAAAAAAATTAAATGGTTTTAATCTTACCCTCCAAGTATAGTCATGTGACACTTTTCCAGAAGATTTTAGGCTGTGGGACACACTGGTTCAAGCCAGTAAATCCTCACTGCTCAGGAGGTGGAGATGGGAAGGACCATGGTTTGACACTAGCCCAAACAAAAAGTTCACAAGACTCTGTCTCAATCAATGACTGAGTGTGGTGATGTGCTTCTGTCATCCCAGCTGCACAGGAAAGCACTAATAGGAGGATCATGGTCCAAGCTGATCCTGGTATAAAGCAAGACCCTATCTCAAAAATAACCAATATATGGGCTGGTGGAATAGTTCAAGTAGTAGAGCACCAGCCTAGCAAGCATGAGGCCCTGAGTTCCAGTCCCCCCAGTACTGGGGGAAAAAGGACTAAAAATAACCAACATAAATGGAGCTAGTGACTGGGCACCAGTTGCTCCCTAGCTACTTGGGAGACTGAGATCAGGAGGATTGTGGTTCAAGACCAGCTTGGGCAAATAGTTTGTGAGACCCCCATCTCCAAATATGACTAGAGGTGTGGCTCAAGCAGTAGAGCATCTGCTTTGCAAGTGGAAAGCCCCGAGTTCAAACCCAGGTCCCACCCAAAAATGAAAAAAAGGTTTGACAGAGTGGCTCAAGAGGTAAACCACCTGCCTAGCAAGTTCAAGGCCCTGAGTCAACACCTTCTCCCCCGCCAAAAAATGTTTTAGGCAATAAGTGGACATTAAATTTTGAATAGCTTATTTTAATATACATTAGAAAAATGACCAGCACTATGAGGTTATTTTAGTCATTGGTGTTTAAAAGTATGACTGAAATACACAGTTAAGTTTAGAATGAGTAATACTTAATAAGTGAATAGGAAGGATGGTTCATAGTACAACAAAATAATGAAAAGAGTTAAGCAATTGAATCCAGTTTGGGAAACACTGTCTTAAGTCAAATGGCAAAAGCTGTCCTTTTAGGGTTCAGAGCATCAGAAAAGTTATAGGGAGTAATTTTTTTTGTCTGGTAGCAATAGACTATGTTCTTTGCTTTATAATTCTTAATGAGTTGAATGAAAAAGGTTTTCAAAAACGAATTATTAGATACTTGGGACAAGGATATTTAGAATATCAAGAAAGTGCTCAGGTTTAATTTAGATGGAATTGTTAATTTTTAATTTTTAAATTTTATACATTTAATTTAGATGTTGATGTTAATGAAGATTCACCTCCTCCCCTACCTGAAAGAACTCCTGAATCTTTTGTATTAGCAAGTGAATATAGTGAGTGTCACTTCTTCTTTTACATTTACTTTATAGTCTAAAAATAAACTGGAAAACATGACTGATGTTAATCTAGTAACTTTTCTGCTGAATAATTAAAATAAAAAACTGGTTTAAATTTATGCTGATATGCTTCTAATTCATTTGGAAAATAATTTAAAATGGTAAGTTTTTACTTCCTAAGATTGCTGAAATGATTGCATTTATATTACATTCTAGAATTCAGTTAAATGCAATATAAATGTATTTGCAATTGGAGTCTTTTTCATTCATTAAAAGTAGCACTTATTGGGCTGGAGGTATGGCTTAAACAGTAGAGCACCTAACAAGTGTGAAGCCTTAAATTCAAACCTCAGTAGTGCCCCGCCCCCCAAAAAAAAGAAGTAGCACTTATTGGTGAGAACATTAATTACTTTACTTTTTAGTGAAAATAAATAAGTTGACATTGAAGCTGGATTTCACTAGAGTATCTATGAGAAATGGGAGAAAGTGATCTTATTTCAAAGCATTAATAATGTATTCTTTCCTACTACCTTCCTAAAGAAAGAGTACAGAGGCATCTTGAGTATGTTTACGGTGTCTCGTGGTGAGTGGAGATGCTCATTAGTCTAATGAGTTACATTGTCGATATATTAACAATTTTGACCAATTTTAAGAATGTTCAACAGTGAAGTGCAGTATACTTCAACTAATTTTAAGAATGTTCAACAGTGAAGTGCAGTATACTTCAACTATCTTAAGTCTGCACATTATTCACAGATTACAATAAACAAATGATTTCATTTAGTTAAATTTTAAGGAGAGAAACTCAGAAATTTTCTTGAATTAATAGAAGCTATGAAAGTTTTATGAAAGCAGTAGTTTCTACAAATGTATAGGATCTGTTTTGTATGTAATTTTTTTCTTGGTGTTTGTAGGGAATTGATCCCAGGGCCTTGCACATGCTAGGCAGTTGCTCTACCATTGAGCTATGTACAGCCCTGTTTTGTTTGTACTTTAATGCAAAGAAACAGATGATGTGGTTTTAATTTTAAGATTCCATTTTTCTCAGATACCCCTATAAGATCTGAATGGAGTGACCTTCAAAGTCAGGAATGGTCTGAACAAAGAGAGTCTGAAGTGAGTCCTTTTGGGATTGGAATAGCTACAGCTAAATACTTTTGTTGATGTCAATTTATCTTACAGTTTGTTATAATAAGTGTCATCTTAAATTTACTTCACAATTTTTAGCCAGCATTACTTATGCTATGATTTCTGATAAAAAGTCTATAAAATACACCATATGAGTTTTTTTTAAAAAGGTAACCTGACCGTTATAAGGCCATTACTTCAGAGTATTACTTGGTCAGCCTGTTTTTGAAATTTGTAAATTATACTATGTTTTAAATTATTTCGGAGATATTAACAGGGCTTAATATTTTGGGGGGGGATCCTACTACTTTCTTAGATTTCATTCTCCCCTTTATAACACCACTGGTCACACAAGATTTCTTTCATATTCAGGAAATATGTCAGTAATCAAAGATTTTTAACAGTGGTTAATGCTACTTTTCATCAACACTAACATTTTCCCTGTATTATATCTCTAAAATAAAAAAACCCACCTACTTGGCACATAAAATCTTAATAGCCCATAATAATTATAATCAGTGATATCATAATTTGGTGACATTGGTAGATGGCAGATTGCAGCTGTTTTATTCCTTTGTGCAGTAGCTCCTGTTTTTCAGTTTTCATCCAGTATAAGACAGTAAAACATTATTTAATGCCTAATTGTGGAACATCATTTTTTCTCCTTTGACATTGAAAATTTTGATGGACCTTAATTTGTTGGGATATATAGCCATAATAGATTAAAACCATTATTTGCACATAAAGTGAATGTGTTGTAATAGTTATTAAATGTCTTCCTTATAGGGCTCGATAACCTCTGGAAATGAAAAATGTGGTAAGTTACTTGATGGTTTTTTTTTTTTTCTTTTGCCCTAGACTTTATAGGTTAATTTCTATAAAATGACATTTATCATGAGTTCTGCTATTTGGTTATTGATTTAGTATATATGAAAATATCTAGGACAACTTTTTTAGAATATGTGATACAGTTCTAAATTCATCAAACAGTTATTGATCTGATCTGGAAAGTCATGGGAACATTTATTATCGATAGTTAGAGGCTTATGGGAAATAAATTATTGATATTTGTTGTATTTTATTTTCTGTTGCTTATGAAAACACTTAGGGTTCGGTCAGTCACTTAGGGTTAGCTCAGTCAGTAACACAGCACATGTGTATCATGAGTGAGGCTCTAGATTCAATCTCCAGCACTAAAAAACAACAACAAACCACTTAGAAGTTAGATCCCCACTTGAATAAATTCCCCCCAGATTTACTTACATGATAGAATTAGGTCCATAAAAAACAAATGTTTTAGAAATCTTTCTAGGATATTTATTCTTACTTCTGAATAAATATAAAAATTATGTGGTTCAAACCAGTGGTTATAATGCTGAGTTAGAAAATTTTTCAGCATACTAAACTAGTTCAAGTAATTTAATTTTTCTAAGTCAGTGACCATGTAAGGGACTTATCATACATCCCAGACTTTATAATTCCTTCAGTTCACCTAGCATCTCTGCTTCTATTCTCCAGTCTGCTTTAGCTCTTCTCTTTCATGATTACACCTTAGATCTTGGCCTAATAGGTGTATTCCAGGTCATAAACTCTGTTACTCTCTTTTCTGAGGCATCGTGTTATAATGAAAAGAGCTTAGCTTTCCAGCCAAGCTGACCTGGATTGCAATCCCATCTTCGCCATTTTACTGTGTGGCTTTGGGCAACTTACATAATCTTTCTGAGCTTCAGTATTCTTGTCTGCAAAATGGAGATGATAATAGTACTTGTCTTACAAGTTTGTTGTGAACATTTAACTATATACATAATACACATATATATACATATTCACACGTATATATATATATATATATATATATATATATATATATATGATAGTATATCCATATATATTATATACTACAGTATATAATGTATATTATATAATACATTCAATATTAAATAATTAATTTAAGAAACATTGTGCCTGGCACGTGATAGCCACTTAGGAAGCTGAGGCCAGAGGATCAGGAGTTCAAAGCCAGAATGGGATAAGACCTTGCCTCGAAAAAGCAAAACAAAGAGGTGGGGGAAAAAAATAAAGAAAAATAAACTAACAAAAATCAAAGAAGGATATGTGGCAGAGGCCTTAAGAACTTTTGCTGACTTGAGTACAGAAAACATGTATTATTTGACTTAAATTCCATGTTTCCAGAAAGGTCCCTCACAGAATAATAAACCCAGTAGTTAATTTATTTTTTTAACTAATTTTATGCATTGGTAGTTAATTAAATGAATAAACTCTACAATTTAAGCAACAAAACTTGAAAAGAATTACTACTTTAAGGAGGCAAACAGTCCACTAATTAACCATGAACTTGTTTGTCATTGACTTCCATATAAAGACATTTCAGTTGTAGTTACTGCCTTTGAGCATAAGCACATAGCATACCTACTTTTCAGGGACTATAATAAATATGCTAAGATCTGTATTTATGAAAAAAATGAGAACTTAACGAGACCCTTCACACTGAAGAAGTATTCCATGTAGTCCTCAGGAACACCTAACATGAGCTGGGTGTACATACCTGTAATCCCAGCATTTGGGAAGCTGAGGCAGAGGATTGCAAATTTGAGGCCAGGCTGGATAGGCTGAGATAGTGAGACCCTATCTCAGAAAACCTCGACCAGCCTGGAGGCATGGCTCAAGTGCCAGTATGAAGCCCTGAGTTCAAATTCTAGTACTGCCAAAAAAAAAAACCCTAGACCTAAGGTGATGCTGCTGCTGATGATAATGGGACATTATGATTATGTAAATTAATGTGCAAGGGGTATTTTGGGAAGGTGATCAGCAGGAGGGGTGAGGGGCAAAGGAAAGGATACTGAGAGGTGAAGAGGATTAAAGTATGCTATATATAATTATATTAATAATATATAATAATAATCCACCTAACATGATTTCTTGTGCTCATTCCCCTTGAGTTTGTATTTATCAGGGCATCTAAAATTATGATTGTATCCATGAAATAAAACTTGCTTGTTTACTCATTGCCCACATTAAAACAACTAAAGTGTTCTGTGTGTAGTATAATGCTACAAATAATGGTAATTACTAAGGACTTTGTTTTGCATTTTTAGATCATCCAACAGGAGGTGTTCACACAGAGACTTGTATAGAATGTCCACCTACTTTCAGTGACAAGAAAGATCAGACAACAGAAAGTCCGACGGAAGCCACAGATATTGGTAATTTGTTCAATAAACAATTTTAAAACTGCAAACAGTTAATGCTGGCAAGTGTGAGAAAAGGTCATTATCTATTCTAAGATTTCCTTAAAGCAGTTTTATCAAACTTTGTAGTAGGACTTATTCACATGTTGAAATGTTACTTGCCAAGAATAAAACATGTATGGTCAAAGTCACTTGGAATTAATCATGATATAAGTGAATGAATTTACTCTGTTCCACACTGAGATTAAGAGCCAAAATATTTTTTTTTAATTGTAGTGTATAAGCAGATCTTTTGTGTTAGAAAGATTAAAATACCTTAGATATTTTTCTTTGTGATAGAACTGGTTTTATTTTAGCTTTTCGGGGGTTTGGTTTGGTTTGGTTTGGTCTTCTGGTTTTTTTGAGATGAGGCTGCACTGTGTTACCAAGCCTGGCTTTCTGGACTCAAGGGATTCTTTTGCCTTGGTCTCCTCAGTTGTAGGCACATGCCATTGTACCCAGGCATAGTAATTTTTAAAGAAGCAATTATTTTTAATTTCCCCAAAATTAATTTGTTTGTTTTGTATTTACAAAGTTTTGTTTGGTTTAAATTCTGAATTCTCTTACCTAAATACATGTGTTCTAAGATGTGGTTTTAGTATTGTAAAAGTGTCTATGAACACTGACCAGTTACCGTGGTGTTTTGACTATAGGTTTTGGTAATCGCTGTGGAAAACCCAAAGGACCAAGAGCTCCACCTTCAGAATGGACATGATTCAGGGAACTAAAAGACACTTTTAACTATACTGGAAAATGCAAGTGCCACCGAAAGCCAGATTTATAGTATTCCATCTTTAAAATGTGGGACTAACAGCAGTGTAGATTGTTACCTTAATATTTTTTTGCTGGGACCATCTACCTGCCTTATACTACATTTAGGAAAAGTATTACATATGGTTTATTTTGTAACTTCAAGTATTATTGCCTTAATGTCTTTTAACCCTGTTACACGCTGCTTGTAGACCTGTTAATACAGTAATACTTTTACGATAAATCGAGTTCAAGGACTACTCTTTTGCTGTTTTATCATGTATGCGTTATTTTGTATATGTACAGGGCAAGTAGGTATATAATTTGATAAAGTTGCAGTCATAAAATATTAACAGAAGATGTAAGAAATTTCTGCATGGTCTAAATCTTTGTGTACCTTATTTGTAAATTATTTGCCCTGAAGTTTTAGAAGATAGTTTCTGAATTTTAAAATTGCTGGATTCATGCAGCCAGCATTGCAGGTTATCAGATATCAAAGATTGTAATAATAATACATTTTGTAAATTGTAAGCAAAAAGCTATTTTTATATTATATACTGTCTAATTGTTCATCCTAATTGTTCTTGTTTTCATCTAGTCATGGAGATTCAGTAAGTGCCTTGGAACAATATTGAATTCTCTTAGCTTGTGTGTGTTACTTTAATATTTGAACTCAACTGGGATTAGAAGACTATTAAAATATGTGTTATGTTTCAGGATATTTGACCTGCCATTAAAAAAAAACAAAAACAAATTTACAGTGCCTACATATTATTGTGGTTTTTCATTCCTAAGAAAAAAGACTTAACTGTTCTTGCTGGCCTCAGCTTCTTTTTAAATTCTTTTTGAGTGGGGTTTAGTCTCTTAATTAAGGAACAGGGAGCTAGGCATGATTACAAATGTCTGTAGTCTAGCTACTCCATAGGCTGATCATAGGGAAGATCACTTGATTATTTGAGCCTACAAGTTTGAGACTAGCATGAGCAACATAAGGAGACCCAGTCTGAAGAAAAAGAGAAAAAAAATAGGGAGTATCTGCTGCAAAAAGCATGGCTCTGCCAACTCTAAATACTTATTCTTAAGTCAGCACTAGACATCCATATCATCATTATTAGCCTTCGGAGATCCTTATAGATACCCAGAGTTGAGGTTCGGAAGGAGGAATCCTTTTCCCATCCATAAATACCAAGGCTGAATTTTGACACTGTGGATTGGAACTGACAAACATCTGTATTTTCCCTGTGCATATAAAAGAATGAAGAAATTATGAAACTAAAACGAAATGAAGTGACTACCTGAGTAGAAGGTGGATTGTTGTGGGAGCAGAAAATAATATTATAATTTTATGTTAGCATTTTCCTAAAAACCTACTTGGTCTTCATGGTGATTGCTTAGAATATGAAAAAGATTTGCTGTATGTTTTAATTGTAAGGAAATAGTAGTGGCAACTTGATACTCACAAGACACAAATACTCCTATAACATCATTTTCCTAATAAAACATGCTAAAATAAAGCATAACTGAGAGAAAATTTCAACCCTTCACGTACTTGATGAGTAATGAAACCTGGTACTATAATCATTTGTAAAGAATTTGTCCTTTTTCAAACCCCAGTACCACCAACAAAAGATTTTGTTTTTGTAGGGAAGGTGTCTCTTAGAGTGCCTTCATTGAAATGTAACATGTATTCAGATGGATACAAAAATCATGTTAATCATAATATGAAAACGATGACTGCCAAGGTCAAATAGTAGAACAGTTACCAGCCACTGAGAAGCTTCCCCCTTCTGGCATCTGTTTATTTTCATATGTATAGCAGTTTATTTTTCATTGTTACAGAGTTTCATATTATATAAATTTACCACAATTTCTCCATTCCACTACTAATAGACATTGGTGTTTGGGAATATTATGAATTATTCTGTTAACACTTTTGTATGCATCTTTTGGAACACATGTACATATATCTGTTGAATATAAACTGTATAGTGGAATTTTCAAATTATAATGTATGCATATATATATTTCATTTTTAGGAGATACTGCAAACTTCTCCAAACTCGTTTCATTTGTTACAAATTGATATAGCCAATAATTTGTATTTTAGCCATTCTAATGTATATAAAGTGGTATTGCAATGTGATCTGACTATATTTCCCTGTTGGTCAGAAAGGTTGTACGCCTTTTCACATGCTTAGAGCATGGGGATATCCTTTTTTGTGAAATACCTGTTCCATTGATATGCAGTACAACTACATTATATTTTTACCTAAATCTACAGAGTTAAATTTTGTGTGTATGGTATAAGGTAGGTTTTTATTTGTTTGTTTTGGTTTTTCCATTGACAAATTACCATTTATTAAGAAAAACCATTCTTTTCTCACTGTTGGACAGTGTTGCTATGGGGATAGGGGATTTAGCTCAGTCAGTGACAGAGTGCTTGCCTAGCATGTACAGGCCCTCGGTTCAATCCCCAGCACCACAAACAAAATGGTTTTGTGTGTGTGTGTGTGTGTGTGTGTGTGCATTAATTTGAATGTTAGTTTCTAGTATTTTTAATTCTGTCTTTTTCCATCCTTGCTTTCTTCCGCTGATTTACAGTTACACTGCCTAGAACATCTTATAAAAGTTACTTGCTTTTATTTCTCTACATAGAGCATATGGTAAGCTCATTGTAGCTAAGCCACTGTCAAATTCATCCTGCCACTTTCCAAAACCTTTTACCTTATATATAAAGCTACAAAGACATTTAAATTTCTCGTTTCCTATCAGAAACATTGAATTAGCTTTGTTTTGGAGACCACTTTGCAAATAGTATTTTTCACTTTATGCACATTTTCCTCACATGTTAATAAACATAAAGCAATAAATAATTGTTAGTAATGTCAGAACTAAACTAGACTCAAGTACTTGCTCACATGGAACAATCTCTTAGATATGATTTTGCCTGTTCAAAATTGCCTGATTGTATGTTCTAAACCTGTGGTGTTACTTGAACTAGTTGAAACTGAATGTTAAATATTTGGATATGAAAGCTTTACTATATATATCATTTTGTTGTTTTATATTCTGAGGTTGAATTTGCTTTAGGTAGAAGTACAGAATTCCTGATTCTATTTAGATAATTAGAAGGAAATGAGACATAGGCAAAGACTCTTAGTTTATAAAATTCTGGTTTAGAAAGGAAAAATCTCAATTTTCAATATTTTGGACATAAGTCCAGTCCACCTGTAGAAATAAAGATGTGATGGTCAGCAGAAATGCCCATATCAAGATCAGGACATTCATATAGACACAAAGGAAACCATGACAATACACAAAAACCCTAGGAAGAATAAATGAACTATTTGATATTTATATGACATTTGTTTTTGTTTTTGAGACAGGGTCTGGCTGTTAATCCTTCTTCCTCAGCCTCCCAAGTGCTGGAATAAATGAATTTTTGCAGTACATTATTTAGATCAGGCATGGTGGTACATACCTGTAAACTTAGCCGTTAGAAGACTGAGGTAGGATTGTGAGCTCAAAGCCAGCCTGCACTATGTAGTAAGTACTGGACCAGCCTACTCTGCACAGCAAGACCTGTCTCAATCCTCCCTGCTCCAAAAAGGAAATTAGGGGGTGGGATGGGACTGGAGTTTGCTCTGGTTATTTTTGGAGATGGGGGCATCTCATGAACTGTTTGCCTGGACTACCCTCAAACCTTGATCCTCCCAATCTCGTCTTTAGTGGTTCTTTTTCACCTAAGGTAATGCTTCTTCAAAGCATTTAAAACTTGGCCCAGGTTCTCCTGCACTAGAATTTAGGGAGCATGCTTAAAATTGAAGTCAAAATGCCTTATTCTAGACCTGAATTGAAATGGGGCTAAAGGAATGTGTTTTTCGGCATGTACTGTATAGGTGACTTAGTTGTACAATGGACCAGACCTGTAAGATCAAACCCAGACTCCTTAGCAGACCTGTCTGTTGCTGACCTCTCTGAATTATCTGTCTGACTCAGCCTCCAAAGTACTGAGATTATAGGTGTGCACCACCACACCTGGCACAATTTAAGGTTTTTGAAAAGAACTTGAGTGAAGAATGACATCTTAATTATATTCAGCCTTAAAATATTTTCTAATTTTAATATTTTTGTTGAAATATATATTTAGGCTGGATGCTGGTGGCTCACACTTGTAACCCTAGCTGCTCAGAAGGCAGAGATCAGGAGGATTGTGGTTCAAAGCCAGCCCAGGCAAATAATTCACAAGACCCTATCTTGAAAAAACCCACCACAGAAAGGGCTGCCAGAGTGGCTGAAAGCGAAGGCCCTGAATTCAAGCCCCAGTACACCCGGCCCCCACACACATACATGTATATATGTAGCATATATATATTAGCACTATTGGCTGCAATCTATGGAATCATTCTAGTTTAGTCCTAAATATAAGGTTAAACTAAATTATCTCATTGAGTTGGTTTTAGAAAAGTTTTGTTGTTTTTAAACACATCTCTTAATTGCCTGTTTTTAATTGGTATTTTAGATATTAAAAATTCAGGTTCTGGGTGGGTGCTGGTGGCTCATGCCTATAATCCTAGCTACACAAGAGACACAGATCAGGAGGATTGTGGTTCGAGGCTAGCCCAGGAAAATAGCTCAAGAGACACTATCTCAAAAATACCCAACACAAAAAAGGGCTGGCAAAATGGCTTGATTGTAGAGTGCCTACCTAGCAAGCATGAAGCCCTGAGTTCAAATCCTATTACTGCACAAAAAAAATCAGGTTTTGTTTATAGGTTTTAAAATCATGAGATGCGACTTAATTTCAATTTTTTATAATTTATTTTCAAAGTTTGAATCTTTGCTGAATGGACCGCAAAGGCCAGAAGCTTGTGATTATGTTCTGGCAGAAAATTATAAAGGGTTTATCAAAGATTTTGGCATATATCCAACTCAATAAGCAGCCGTTACATTTTATTTAAATGTGTTAAGGAGATCTAATTTTGAATACAAAGTATATTTTCTTAACAGATTTGCTGCAGTCTGTTTCCTCTGCTTTTTTTCTTCAAGGTGCATAAATTTTGTAAATATACAAATGACTAGATTGTAAATAATTTAACCAGTGAAAAGCAGCAGTGCTTGGGTAGCTCAACAAGATGGATTTGTGTTCTAACAATTAAAAAATCTGAGCTTTGTTGAATTATGGGGGAAGGGAATTCCAAAGATTCCACTCATTTTTCTTTTTGTTTTTTTTTTTTTTACAGATACCATGGCATATGTACTGTTGTTATGCCTTAATAGTATTTGTGACTGTGAGACATTTCAGAAAGAACATACTCTTTAATGACTACAGATTTGTACTCAAGCAGCCAAGCATGAAGTAAACAGAAAAACAGACTAAATTTCTCGTTGAAGTGTGTTTTTATGGTATCAAGGGCAGAAAAAAAAAAATGTGTTTCTGATTGAGAAATTCAGCAGTTGGGTTAATAGTTTGTTAAATATTCAACTGCATGTATATTATCTTTAGATCTGTGGCATTTTACAGTATTACGCCTTCTAAATTTTAGACTACATACTAACAGTATGAAAAAGTATTTAATTAGCTTACTGTATTCAGTGTAAAATCTATGTAGCTTTTCTCATTTGAAGTAAGTACACAATAACATTTTACATGCAGTGTCTAGGCAAAATTTTTTAAATATCAACTTAAGGATACTACATAATTCCGGCAGTTTGAAAGATGTAGAGATTAACTGAGATAACATTAGGAAATAGTTTTTC